TCTCGGACTGTTTCCTGAGCTAGTGTCCATTTCCCCTTTAGCGCTTGCGCCTTGGGCCCTTTCTGGCGTAATGTTTCCATATGATGTAAATTTCTTTATCGTGCCTGATAGGGACGCTTTGAGCCCTGCTCCCTTAGGACCTTTATTCTTCATATCCTCTTTAAGTCTTTTGCCTTCTATATTCTCTAGATGGAGATTGTACCTCTCCCTTATGATTTATGATCCAGACGGATTTACTACTTTTGCATATGCTCTCCTAGGGGTGTGTGGGACTCTTCTCTTCTGAACCCAGGGAATCCTCCCCTCTCCTCCTTAACCCCTTGGACCCCAATGTCACTCAGGAGTCAACTATACAATAGACAATAGACCCCCAGCAGCTCTCACTCACCCTTCTCTTCCCAGAACGGTAGCTCTAAGTTTGGGTGGAGGGTCTTCTCTGTCCTGGGGGGGGTTCCTCTGGGCTTCCAATGCTGTAGCTCCTTTTCTCTGTCTGGATTTCGTCCAAGGGATGCAGGGTGGGTCTCCTGGCACTCCCGGGTCTCCCTGGCCCAGGATCGAGCAGTCAGTCAGCTGGCCGGGGGCTCCAGGCAGCAGTGAACCGGGGGCTACAGACAGTAGGTAGCCGGGGTTTATGGGCAGCAGTTTGCCGGGGGGGTTGTGGGCGACAGAGAGCCGGTGGCCTAAGCCGGCGTCTCCCTGTCAGTCAGGCGGCCGGCCGGTTTCCTCTTCTCCCAGATGTCCTCCGCGGCTACCACACGCCCCCGCCACGTCACCTCGTCCTCCAGCGGTCCGGATCTCTCTCGTGAAGCACCGGAGGGGCCGGCGCTTCACTGCACCCTTCGTCCGGCTTCCATCACCGGCTCTCCGGGCTCTGTTCAGCGTCCCTCCAGACTCCGGTGAGTCAGGTCCTAAGGGTCACTAGGGAGGTCGGGGAGCGGAACCTAGCTGATAGCTAGTGCCGCTCACTCCCCACTGCTGCCATGTTCAGGCTCCTCCCCACATACTGACCACGCCTGGGTTTGGTACTCAACTGTCCTTTCAAAGAGCACAGTCTATCTGCCTTTAGTCAACCAACCCCATCATTTCATACTTGAGAATGCTTTTCACACCATTACAGGTATGCCAGGAATAGATCAGTTATTTCACAGAAAGTATTTGAAGTCAAGGAAATATTCTTAATAAAGAGGAACTGTGAAGGCCATAGAGATACTTTCCCTGCCTCTTCCCAGAAACAGAATGGTTAGTGACGTATTATAAATACAGGACTGTCTTTCCATGCTGCGGGCAAGCTTGGGAAGCAGAATGTAACCCTGGGGATGGGAGTATCATCTGATAAATCAATGTGAACTATGTCTCCTGTGTGAAATTAGGACACTGAAAGCTGAACTCCAGGGTAAGCATATATATTGTCTACATACGTTTTCTTACTTGAACCTTGGCGTGCTTTGTGTATTATTAGTCCAGATCTGTGCAGTAATTCATTGTAAAACTTTGACTTTGTGCAGCAGCTTCCTGTAGTAAAGACCAGTCACTGCTGCTTTCTCTCCTTGTGCAGGGTGAGCGGTCTTCTCTCCACCCCTCCTGTAATTTTCTGCAGGCAGCCTGTAGTAGGTGGAGCCTGCCATGCCCCTCCCACAGCTCTGCTCTCTGCACATGTGATTTGCAGCCCAGTAGTGATGTCACCACACAACATTTACAAGTTAAAAAATTGCAAAAAAAAAGTGAAAGGAACACATTGAAAACACATCAGATCTCAATGGGGAAAAATATCATGCTGGATATCTATACTGATATGGACTGGGTAATGTGTTAGGAACGTAAGGATGCCCCATCGTTTGATTTTAGTAGTCTCTTTGAATTCAGGTTGGTAATTTTCATTTCCATCAAAGTGAAAAAGTGATGTAGCAGGCTAGTCCATATTGCTGAAATTTAATTGCAGCAAATCACAATGGTACTTGTATGGCCCCCACGTGCTTGTACGCATGTCTGACAATCTCAGGGCATGCTCCTAATGAGATGACGGATGGTGTCCTGGGGTATTTCCCCCCAGATCTGGACCAGGGCATCAATTAGCTCCTGGAAAATCTGAGGTGCAACCTGGTGGTAGACTGAAACATGATATACCAGAGGTGTTCTATTGGATTTAGTTCAGGCGAGTGTGGAGGACATTCAATGGTATCAATTCCTTCATCCTCCAGGAACTGCCTGCATACTCTCAACACATGAGGCAAGCATTGTCGTATTGCACCTGGAGGAACCTAGGACCCGCTGCACCAGCCTAGGGTCTGGCAATGGGTCCAAGGTTTTCATCCCGATACCTAATGGCAGTCATTGTCTAGCCTGTAGAGGTCTGTGCGTCCCTCCATGGATATGCCTCCTCAGACCATCACTGACCCACCACCAAAACAGTCATGCTGAACGATGTTACAGGCAGCATAACGTTCTCCATGGCTTCTCCAGACCCTTTCACGTCTGTCACATGTGCTCAGGGTGAACCTGCTCTCATCTGTGAAAAGCACAGACCTGCCAATACTGGTGTTCAATGGCAAATGCTGATTGAGCTTTATGGTGCTGGGCAGTAAGCACAGGGCCCACTAGAGGATGTTCACACCAGTGGCGTGCTGGAGGACATTTTGAAGGGGTCTGACAGTGCTCATCCTGGTCCTCCTTGGAGCAGATACTGGTCCTGCTGATGGGTTAAGGACCTTCTACAGCCCTGTCCAGCTTTCTCCTGGAATCTCCTACATGCTCTTGAGACTATGCTGGGAGACACAGCAAACCTTCTGGCAATGACACGTATTGATCTGCCATCCTGGAGGAGTCGGACTGCCTGTGCAACCTCTGTAGGGTCCAGGTATCGCCTCATGCTACCAGTAGTGACACTGACCCTAGCCAAATGCAAAACTAGTGAAAAACAGTCAGAAAAGATGAGTAGGGAAAAAAATGTCAGTGGTCTCCACCAGTAAAACCATTCCTGTTTTGAGGATCATCTCATTGTTGCCCATTTAGTGCACCTGCTGTTTATTTCATTAACACCAAAGCAGCTGAAACTGATTAACAACCCCCTACTCAACTGACCAGATCAATATCCCAGGATTTTAATTGACTTGATGCTATACTCTGATTAAAAAGTGTTCCTTTAATTTTTTTGATGAGTATATATATACAGTCAGGTCCATAAATATTGGGACATGTACACAAATTCTAACATTTTTGGCTCTATACACCACCACAATGGATTTAAAATGAAACGAACAAGATGTGCTTTAACTGCAGACTGTCAGCTTTAATTTGAGGGTATTTACATCCAAAGCAGGTGAACGGTGTAGGAATTACAACAGTTTGCATATGCGCCTCCCACTTGTTAAGGGACCAAAAGTAATGGGACAGAATAATAATCATAAATCAAACTTTCACTTTTTAATACTTGGTTGCAACTCCTTTGCAGTCAATTACAGCCTGAAGTCTGGAACGCATAGACATCACCAGATGCTGGGTTTCATCCCTGGTGATGCTCTGCCAGGCCTCTACTGCAACTGTCTTCAGTTCCTGCTTGTTCTTGGGGCATTTTCCCTTCAGTTTTGTCTTCAGCAAGTGAAATGCATGCTCAATCGGATTCAGGTCAGGTGATTGACTTGGCCATTGCATAACATTCCACTTCTTTCCCTTAAAAAACTCGTTGGTTGCTTTTGCAGTATGCTTTGCAGTTAAAGCACATCTTGTTCGTTTCATTTCAAATCCATTGTGGTGGTGTATAGAGCCAAAAATGTTAGAATTGTGTCGATGTCCCAATATTTATGGACCTGACTGTATATATATATAAAATTTATGGTTATTAAGGAATATATTTAAATCAAAGTTTTGTGCACTGAGATTAGCTTGAAAAATGTTCAAAACTCGCCTTTCATAAGGTCCCATGTATGCACCCTGCCATCTCCATTCAGTCTTATCAGGGCATATTAATACCTGTGGTTTTCTTGCCTTTAAGGCTAGCTGTTGACTGAGGTTGAAAAGCGGCAGCACCAGACAGTATTCCTGGGGAAGCAGGAAGTATGAGTCCATGCCTGTGTATGAAGGGACTGTGACATTATGAAAGGTGAGGTGATTGAGGGATGTTATGTATCACCTCACATGCTTTCATATGTAGAGAACTAAGGTGGAATCTGGCCCAGGTTGAGCCTCCTCGGCAGAGTTGGTTCCAGAGTTTTCCTCTTGTGACCACCAGTAGGTGGTATAAATAAAGCAGGACTAGAGAAAAAGGTTGCTCTTGGCCTAGGACTCAGGAAGCCATACCTGAGGGAGCTGTGTATGTGAAAGTTTGCTTTGTATGTGAAAGGAAAAAGTGTGCACAACATTTTGTTTGTTAGTGACTGGGAGAAGCCCTTCACCTGTGAGATTCTAATCTCTTCTATTTAGTTAGTGCAAGTCAAAGTCGGACTTCTAAGAAAGACCTGCCATCTGGACTGCCTTTTTTCCCAGGGAAGGTGATCCCCATCTGAGCTAACCCCCACAGGACCTTTCTGAAGTCTATGTTTGATTGACATCTGCTTAAATTTATGAGGCCTAATCCTAAACATAGTAAATATCTTTGGCTACCATAACCACAACACTGCCTAATTGTCTAGATTTTGCCAGCACTGCGATGGATAATAGAATTTAAGACCTCATACACACTGGGCATTTAGTGGTACATGAGATCCCAGCATTTAGGTGCAGGCAGATGAATCAATGCTGGTGCCGGCAGCTTGTTAAATTCTATGAGATGCTGAAAGTTGCTGCGGCTGGATGGGCTTGACAGTGCATCATGAAGTTCTAATGTTTAGGGCAGTATGCACTAAATGCCGGGAATGCAGACTACTTGCATTAAAAGCCCAGTGTGCATGAGCCCTAAACCTGAAAAAAAAAAACAAAAAAAGAACCTGTGTAGCACACCACAATCCCTCAAGCACATCACACCATATGGTTGGCGCTCCATAAACCTTTTCATAGTATGAAGTTACCTTGTTGAGCAGTTCCAAGTACTGATCTCGTACATTCCTCAACTCTCTGATGAAAAGCCAAAACACTTCTGTGCTGCTGTAAAAAAACAGAAACCCAAACATTACTCTGCTTTATTCCAGAACCTGTAGGGACTCTTCTTCTTCAAGACCTCACTTATACATTTGGAAGAGGGCCAGTTTAGCTGTAGTTTTACAGTCTCCTTGACTGCTCAGCCAACTTGACGAGTGAGCCATGTTAGTACACATCGCCAGTGCGAAAATTATACCACCTGTCACGTTTGGAACCAAACATGACCCATTTAAAAGATGAAAACATTATTTTATTTTTAAAAATGGTATTGATTATTAATATATAAAACAGTTTTGCTAATTAAATGTCATTTAGTTTGGGCTGACATCTTCTCTAAAGGACAACTGTACAAGTTTTTCTTTAAGGCATGCCCCCAACCCCTGAGTGAAGCTCACCTGGCCAATACCACTACTTAACTCTGCAAATCAGAAAAGCCTCTGAAAACATCCCTGATGTAGCCTCTTCTTCCTACTGCATGACTTTACATCTGGAGGAAAAGAAATGTAATCTCCAAACACTGAAAGGTTTCTTCACAGTGAGAGCTGTGAAAATGTGGAATAGACTCCCTCAAGTGTTGATTCTGGCCAGCTCAGTGGATTGCTTCAAAAAAGGCCTGGATTGTTTCTTAGATACACAGAATATAACTGGATACTAACATTTATAGGTAAAGTTGATCCAGGGAATATCCGATTCTCGGGGGATCAGGAAGGAATTTTTTTTCCCTGCAGGAGCAAATTAGATCATGCTTTGCTGGGTCTTTTTTGCCTTCCTCTGGATCAGCTGTGGGTATAGGATTAAAACTTTTTTTTTCCTATGGTTGAACTGGATGGACTTTTGTCTTTTTTCAGACAGACTAACTATGCATGCATGCCATGGCCTCATTCATTCCTATTGGAAGAGCTGTACTCATGCCGGCAACCAGGAACCAGGACCTCCAGTTGTCCACACAGTGAAGATCTTTGCAATGGAGACAGAGCTAAATATCTTACCTAGTTGGCCACACTTGGGAATGTGGGTGAGCATATACCCTAAAGGGAAACCTGTACTAAATGTGCTGTTGTCCTTTAAAAACCATTGAAAAGTGCCTTAATTTCACCTTCCCCACTGACCAATCAATGCAAGTTGCCAAAATGGCAAAATTTGGAACAAATCTTTTTACGCTAAAATTTCAGGGTAATAAAAACACACAATTTTACTTATCCCTAGTCTCAGTGTCTGCAAGTAGGGCCATTTGTTTTTTTCCCATAACTGCCATTCAAATGCTTGCATTTGAATTCTAACTCAAGATAGAAACTGATTAGATGCTCTGAACAACATACAGACAGTTCTTTCAACCAGTGAAATTATTTTGCATGCTTCATGCTTTAAAGATTGGAGTGAGTTCCTAATAAATCCTCATGCAGCACTTCACCTCAATAATTTGAAGATCTATACAAAGTGCTGATGTGATTAAATACTGATATATTACCACTATAAAAATGTGTTTATAGTGGTAATACATCCTATTGGGGTGAAGCGTTGTATTGAGATATCTGATTGATTCTCTGTTTATATTTATTTTTCGAGGGGGATTAACAGCTTCCCGTCCGCCCTATAGCAGAAATACTGCTACAGGGTGGCACGGGTGTGCAAAATCACGTATATATACATGATTTCGGGAAGGGGGCATGAGCGAGGCATGTGCGCACCCTACCCGAGCCACCATTCGTGGCTGTCAATCACCAGGTCCCGGCTGGTGATTACTCGCCGGCACCCGGTGATTGCCGAGGATCTCCGATGGGGAGGAGAACTGTTTGGAAACAAAACAGTTCTCCCTGTCAAATAAAATAAACTTATATATATAAAATCTATATACAGTCATGGCCGAAATTGTTGGCACCCTTGATATTTTCCTGAAAATCAAGTATTTCACACAAAAAAGGTATTGCATTAACACATGTTTTGCTATACACATGTTTATTCCCTTTGTATGTATTGGAACAAATATAAAACAGAGGCAGAAAAGCAAATATGACATAATGTCACACAAAACCCCAAAAATGGGCTGGACAAAAGTATTGGCACCCTTAACTTAATATTTGGTTGCACACCCTTTGGAAAACATAACTGAAATCAGTCGCTTCCTATAACCATCAATAAGCTTCTGACACCTCTCACCCGGAATTTTGGACCACTCTTCCTTTGCAAACAGCTCCAGGTCTCTCTTATTGGAAGGACACCTTTTCCCAACAGCAATTTTAAGATCTCTCCACAGGTGTTCAATGGGATTTAGATCTGGGCTCATTGCTGGCCACTTCAGAACTCTCCAGCGCTTCTTTGCCATCCATTTCTGAGTGCTTTTTGACGTATGTTTGGGGTCATTGTCCTGCTGGAAGACCCAGGATCTTGGACGCAAACCCAGCTTTCTGACACTGGGCCCTACAGTGCGACCCAAAATCCTTTGGTAATCCTCAGATTTCATGATGCCTTGCACACAGTCAAGGCACCCAGTGCCAGAGGCAGCAAAAACAACCCCAAAACATCATTGAACCTCCACCATATTTTACCGTAGGTACTGTGTTTTGTTCTTTGTAGGCCTCATTCCGTTTTCGGTAAACAGTAGAATGATGTGCTTTACCGAAAAGCTCTATCTTGGTCTCATCTGTCCACAAGACGTTTTCCCAGAAGGCTTTTGGCTTACTCAAGTACATTTTGGCAAACTGTAGTCTTGCTTTTTTTTATGTCTCTGTGTCAGCAGTGGGGTCCTCCTGGGTCTCCTGCCATAGCGTTTCATTTCATTTAAATGTCGACGGATAGTTCGCGCTGACACTGATGCTCCCTGAGCCTGCAGGACAGCTTGAATGTCTTTGGAACATGTTTGGGGCTGCTTATCCACCATCCGGACTATTCTGCGTTGCAATCTTTCATCAATTTTCCTCATCCGTCCACGACCAGGGAGATTAGCTACAGTGCCATGGGTTGCAAACTTCTTGATAATGTTGCGCACTGTGGACAAAGGCAAATCTAGTTCTCTGGAGATGGACTTGTAACCTTGAGATTGTTGATATTTTGCCACAATTTTGGTTCTCAGGTCCTCAGACAGTTCTCGTCTCCTCTTTCTGTTGTCCATGCTTAGTGTGGCACAGACAGACACACAATGCAAAGGTTAAGTGAACGTCTCTCCTTTTTATCTGCTTTCAGGTGTGATTTCTATATTGCCCACACCTGTTACTTGCCCCAGGTGAGTTTACAGGAGCATCACATGCTTGTAACATTCTTATTTATCCGCAGTTGTGAAAGGGTGCCAATACTTTTGTCCAGCCCATTTTTGGAGGTTTGTGTGACATTATGTCGAATTTGCTTTCTTTCCTCCCTTTTTTTGTTTTGTCCCAATACACACAAAGGGAATAAACATGTGTATAGCAAAACATGTGTTAATGCAATACGTTTCGTGAGAAATACATGATTTCCTGGAGAAATATCAAGGGTGCCAACAATTTCGGCCATGACTGTATAAAATCGAGCGCAGTGTATAGGTGTAAGTACGGTAGCTGCTTGCACAAAAAGGCACCTCGGGAACCTCCAAAGTAATTGATAAAGAATGAGAGTGCAGCGCTAACCCAAATAGCGATTAAACATATGATAGACCACATATGATAGTGGATCAGTAAAATGGTAAATCTCAAAATAAGTGAGCGCTTCAAACAACTAATAAGATCAATTAGTGAATAGGATAAAATAAGAAGAAAGCAGCTGAACACCAAAAGGTACCATATAAACCTTCACAGTAATCAAAATTGCATACAAGGGAGAGGTGCAGCGCTAGCTGAATAAATATGCACTTAAATGCTTATTAAATATACACTAATATAAATCAATAAAAGTGCTATTAAAGTGCAAAACGGTGACTAAATGGTAAGTATAGTCCATAGCGTGCTCAAAAATCCAAGAGAGTCCTTAAAGAGCTCCAATCCCTGGATTCGTGGATGAGGTGATAAAGATAAGAATTGCGCACTCACCAGATACGCAATTCAAGTGCGCATTTAAAGTGACAATCTCAGGGTCCTCATATGGATCTGGTCAGATCTGGTCACAAAAGCCTCTCATCACCTGGTGTTTCCCACACACACGGAAGAAAGGGCCGCTCTGCAGATGTAAAGGACTCCCACCAGGAGAGCCCCAAGAACAAAGGAGGCCAGATAGTGTGATACCTTATATATAAGGGGTGTGTTTTATTCCCAAAGACACACAGTATACAGGCAGAGGCAGGAAAGATACTGACCATACATTTGGAAAATAAATGGCCGCCGGGGCCCTCGTGGCGCCGGTCGGCGTGACGTCACACCGCTTGTAGCCCGCTCCCTGACGCGTTTCGTGCGAAGGCACGTAGTCATAGGGGGTTAGCTTACAGCAGTGGACGTCAATGTAGGACCTAAATAGGGAAAATGGCGCATGCGCTGTGATCGCGCGCCATTTTCCTTTTGACAAATGTCTCCGTATCGGGCGCCATTTTCATGTAGCCCGCCGAACCGCGCATGCGCGAGCGCTGTCAGCACGGAGTAAACGGCATAACAATGATCACCAGGGAGAGGTGTGTTGCCCAGCAACCTGTACGTGGGGATAATCCAAAACAGCTCCATGAACAATCCAATAGAGCCATTAGTCCCGGGTTACTCATTCATGGCATAATGATCATCGAAGGGATATTTTACCCCAAAGCCTAGTATATAAATGTAAATAAAAGCAGACCCTATACTAACAAATTAGTCAGCATATGTATAATCAAAATATGTATAATCAAAATTAAAATCAGATTAAAACCAATTAGAGTATAGAGTGTCTAAAAGGTCAAATTTAAAATAAGGTTATATCTGGTGGTCATTATTAATGCCACATTCTTTTAATAAACTCACATTCAGAATTTCAACTATAAAAAACATGTAACATATTAAATATAATATAATATAATACAAAGCATATATAAAAATCACGTGATAAAACAAGTTACAACCATATATAAAATATATAGAGAAAACCTTTTATATAGAGAAAAAACTCCTCATATATAATTAATATATAAAATTGTATAAAAAAGATTTCACTATGACCTAAAACCAAAAACGCAATAAGAAGGATAAGAGACAATAAAGTGACATTTAAAGGATTCAAAGGGATAAAGCTGATGCTAACTGTTGTCAATGAAGCAATTGATATCCATGTCTATATTAAGTCCTTTAGGACGCATACAATCAATTTGATAAATCCATTTAGTTTCCATCTGGGAAACAGCTCTCTTTTTATTTGTTCCCCTCCAATGATTCTGTACTACATCAATTCCTACAAATATCAAGGAAGATGGATCTCTGTTGTGATGAGTCCTATAGTGCATTGACAATGAGTGCTCTTTATATAGCCTTTTCTCACATTATTAACGTGTTCACGCAGTCGGTCTCTGAGTCTCCTGGTGGTACGACCTACATACTGCTTTTTACACGGACATTGCAAAAGATAAACCACATATCTGCTATTGCATGATATGAAGTTATTGATCTTGTAGTTCTTCCCAGTACTAGTAGATGTAAAGTCATCAATCCTCCTTTTCCTATGTCCATTACATGTGCCATATAATACAATTATTGCACGGGAAAAATCCAACCATGTTGCTAAAAAACACTGTTTTAATAGGGGGGTTGATGATATTAGGGGCTATGGTGTTTCTCAAAGGTTGTGCCCTCCTGAACATAATCTCCGGCTTATCCGGCAAGATCCTCGCCAAAACTGGATCTGCTTTAAGAATTTTCCAATTTTGGTTGATTATTCTCGTAACCGTTTTGAACTGAGCAGAAAATGTAGTCACAAAAGGACAAACCTTAGAAGGCTTACAGGTGGGGTTGTCAGTCAATAATGATTCCCTGTCCATATTTGCCACCTCTTGCATGATATGAGTGAGATGAGATTGCTCATATCCTTTCTCCATGAACCTATTCCGCAAAATAGAGGCCTGTGCGTGGTAGGTGTCCACTGAGGTACAGTTTCTCCGAATTCTGAGAAACTGACCCTTGGGTACATTAGAAAGCCACAATGGATGGTGGCAGCTGCTAATGGGAATATAGCTGTTGCGATCCGTCTCCTTAAAAAGGAAGAGGTTGCAACAGCCCCATTAGAGTTAATTAATGTTAGATCCAGAAAATTAATGCTGGTCTTACTATACTCATAGGTAAGTCTAACATTAAGCAAATTGTTATTGAGAGTCCCAAAGAAGTTCACTAGTGCTTGTTCTTCCCCTCTCCACAAGAGCAAGATGTCATCTATATATCGTTTATAAAAAACGAGCTCAGGCCAATCCCTGGCATAAATGACATCTTCCTCCCACCTGGCCATGAATAGGTTGGCCAGGCTGGGAGCAAACTTCGCTCCCATAGCCACACCCCTTTTCTGAAGATAAAAAATACCATCAAACCAACATTTAGTCACTTTAATAGGATCAGTAAAATGTCAGTGTAAGTTCATCAGATGTGCTGAAAATGCATACAGTCTCCAATATGTAAAAAACCAAAAGTAGTGACTTTCAGAAATGATAATAGCCAAATAATGCACTAACCAGATAGCGCATATTAAAGCGCATGGAGCATTTAAGACCTGCCCCTGGTGCTCAGCCACTGTATCACTGGAGCCAGGAGATGTCATCTATAGGGTGACCACTAGATGTCATCTATCGGATGGAAGCTGAGTCCAGCCACTGTATTAGAGGATCAGGCGGATGTCATCTATAGGGCGACCACTAGATGTCATCCGTTCCAGGAGGAGCTGTGTCATGGATCCAGGGATGTCACTTGCAGATGTGTCCTTTGCTCAGCACAGCCCCAGGACCTAAGGGAAGTGCCAAGCTATTTATATCCTGTGTACATGTACCTCTGGTCTGGCCGTTTATGAGCAGCTGAACCGTTGTTAGTAAGTTCTTTTCTGATTATTTACCTACTTTAATAAACGATATCACACTATTTGAGACCTTTTTCCACGGGCTCTTTATTTCTGGGGAGCCTGTAATTCTGTAATTACAGTGAAGCACAAACACATGGCCCCATAGTAAAACACACCCAGCACACATTTAACCCTTTGATCTCCCCTCATGGTAACCCAATTCCTACCCAGTGCCATTAGTACAATGTCAGTGTTTTTTTTTTAGCACTGATCCCTGTACTGGTGTCACTGGGGATGTCAGTTACACCAAGTGAGTTCCCCCCCAGTGTCAGAATGCCTGCTGCAGTCTCACTATTAGTCGCTGATCGCCGCCATTACTAGTAAAAATTAAAAAAAAAAATTCCAGTATCTATACCACCGTTTATAAACGCTATAAGTTTATATTTTATAAGTTTTATAAGTATAAGTTTCACATAAACCAATTAATTTACAAGTATTGGGATATTTTTTAGCAATGACCTGTCACAGAATACATTTTGGCCTAAATTTATGACAAAATTGATTTTTTAAATGGACATGTTTAATAGCAAAAAGTCCAAAATATAGTTTTTTTCTCAAAACTGCTGGTCTTTTTTTTATAGAGCAAAAAAAAAAAAAACACAGGTGATCAAATACCACCGAGGGGAAAAAAGGATGTAAATTTAATTGGGGTGCAGCGTTACATGACCGTGCAATTGTCAGTTAAAATAACACAGCACCGTAACGCAAAAAATGGCCTGGTCAGGAAGGGGGGTAAATCATCAGGAGAGCAAGTGGGTAATGCAGCAGCACACTAAGGCATTTATTTATTTCTGTATATTCACGTTCATTTTGATTAATTGATTACACTTTTTTTATTATGACCAAGCACGGAAGGGGATTCAGTAGAATATGTTCCTAATGAACTACTAAGCTGCCCTCAGCTCACCTACACACGTCCCAGCCTGGCTCCCGATGGTGGACATGCAATGCTTTTTGCACCTCAGGTTTGTTCATGTAGGTGTTGATACTACTGTCATCCATACAGGGTACACTCAGTTTTATTGGCTTCTTTAACTGTGACAGCCTTTGCAACTTCTGTTGGACAAAAAAAAGAATGATTAAAATCAAATCTACATACTCTATCCAAAAAAAAAAAAGTTTTGACACAATTAGGAAATTATTTAGTGGATTAATTTAGTACAGGTAAAGCTCATTTCTGTTTTTAAATTGGACCTCCTGTAGAAACAAGAAAAAAAAATCTTTGCCAAGTAGTGATCAGCTTTTCACACTCCAGCATGGTCCCATGTGTCCTCATTCATGACTCAACACTCACGCCCAATTTCAATCCACTTCCTGTGAGCTCTGGGTGTCAAGGACACTCCCCCAGGTGGTACAACACCACAGGACACTGGACACACAGGAGATGACAGAAAGCAGTGATGACATCACTACATGAGCATCATTCTAAACTCACCTACCGCTGGAAAACAGAAGAAGTTGGTTAGGGCCTTGTCCATTTTTTGCCCAGACCAGCAAATCTTGAATCCTGCTGCAAACTCCTAACATTGACTGGAAGATTATGGAATACTTCCAATGTTTCAGAGACATGCAGAACAACTTTATTAGGCGTTTGATTAAGTGGTCCTGCTTGGTTTCAAAGAGTTGGAACTATGATGTATTCTTTTAATAAATGTTCAGACTTTGCAAAAAGATCCAAGTTGTGCTGGTGACATATCTTCACTTATATGTTATGTGATTCCAGTCAACAGTTGTTATGGCACCCTGAAGACTAAGGCCTCGCTCACATGGGGCATATATGCATGCCCTTTGTGAGGGTCAAGTCTACCCATACAGGGATACACAAGTTTTCCATGCATCCCCATGTAGGCAGTCCCATTGCTGTCATTTGTACATATATACACCTCATGTGAACAAGGCTTTAGGCTCACCATACACATTACAATCTGGCTATACAATCTCTGTACAATCAACTTAAGCTCTACCAAATCTATGCAATATGAGGACCTATTTAAACATTTATAACCAAAATATTTGTAACCAATCAGGCTGACCCTTACACTACATACTTATGGTAGAGCTAAAAGAGATCGTACAATCATATTGTAATGTGCGTTATGAGCTATGAGTTATGAGGTCTATATGTGATGGAAATATGTTGATTAGTATGTGACAAATACATCCGGCAGACAGCTATAAAAAGTGGAGCTGAATGCGATTAAAGTGTTTCTACCCCCATGAAGTGACAAGCCTTGAGTGATACACAGAGATGAAACAAATCCCCCTATGTAAGTTGTACCTGTTTACCATTTATCCTGTAGATCAGGGGTGTTCAACCCGCAACCTGCGGGCTGCATGCGGCCAGAGAGGGATTTGCATTTGGCCAAACACAAAATTGTAAACTGAACAACTAGAAGGATGCCGTGTTTGGCATAGCAATCACAGCAGTAGCCTGTACAGACAAGAGTGGTCCAGGCACATCAGGTGGAATGCTGGGGATATATATATATATCCATATGATATAATACTGGCAGAACATGGAGGGACACCCGCTAGCCAAGTAAGTGCCACATGGGGGTGCTGGGGGGGCTGTGCCCCCCCCCTAAGATTTCATGCAAATACTCAGATAGGTAGTAGTTGTAGATAATCAATTGAAATTACAATGAGGCATCATCCATATGTGAAAACAAGCATTATTGAGACATTAATTATGCCTCCAGTAGTGAAAACGACAGCTGATTAAAATCAATTATGCTATTTTATCTAATAGTGGATGAAGCGCTCAGCCATGAGGGTAATACACTAATTGAGCTAAATATAAACAAATAAAAAAAAATATGTATATAATAAAGTGACTAGTGCTCCAAATGAATGTGCAAACAAAGGAAAATAATAAAATAGATATAAATACAAAAATTCCAATACATAAATATTTATAAAGTGAAGGTGACTGGTTATTCAAATCAATCAATGTGTGCAAACAAAGCAAGCGACCAGTCTGCCACCCAGTGGCTAAAACTGGTACTAAATGTACACACACTGTATGAAAAGTGACAAGTGCCCAAAAACTAAATATATATATATATATACAAATCCACACATGATCACGTATATTAAATATGTATAAAAACTGTGAATAGATACAAAGTGAACAATCACTACCTAAAGTGACAAGTGTAAAATAAAACAAAGAAACAAGTCCAAATTAAAGTGCAACAATCGTGCTATCACTCTTATGATGTGAAACTAAATATATGCTTTTCCACTTCAAAATCTTGTGCTCAGAAAAAAGGAGTGACCCTCTCGTGCATATATCCTCCAGTGGCTAGAGTGCCTCCTCACCTCCTTTATTCGACCCCAAAGGGTCACAAATCATGTAATCAGATATTCCACCCCGATTAACTTCCGATAATATTGATGACTTCACAACACCTCATTTATCCCTCCGATATCCACTCCAAATGTATTGGGCATAGAGAGACTCAGCAATATAGTATCAGGGTCATGGAAGGGTAAACAAAAAGAAATACTTCCATAGTGTAGTACGTCCAATATATTTAATCAGAAAAATGCCAGATGAATCACTCACATGGTCCAAGTATACAACCCACGGTTTACCATATGTTATGGGTGTACTAGGGGACTCAAGATGGCGAAAAACCAGAAGTCTGTCACCGGAACTGCGTCACCGAGCTCCACCTGGAAATGACGTCACTGCGCTCTACGCGTTACGCCCCAAACACGTGGCTTCTTCAGAATTCACTATGGAAGTATTTCTTTTTGTTTACCCTTCCATGACCCTGATACTATATTGCTGAGTCTCTCTATGCCCAATACATTTGGAGTGGATATCAGAGGGATAGATGAGGTGTTGTGAAGTCATCAATGTTATCGGAAGTTAATTGGGGTGGAATATCTGATTACATGATTTGTGACCCTTAGGGGTTGAATAAAGGAGGTGAGGAGGCACTCTAGCCACCAGAGGATATATGCACGAGAGTGTCACTCCTTTTTTCTGAGCACAAGATTTTGAAGTGGAAAAGCATATATTTAGTTTCAGATCAAAAGAGTGATAGCACGATTGTTGCACTTTAATTTGGACTTGTTTTTTTGTTTTATTTTACACTTGTCACTTTAGGTAGTGATTGTTCACTTTGTATCTATTCACAGTTTTTATACATATTTAATATACGTGATCATGTGTAGATTTGTACATATATATATATTTAGTTTTTGGGCACTTGTCACTTTTCATACACTTAGTGTGTGTACATTTAGTACCAGTTTTAGCCACTGGGTGGCAGACTGGTCGTTTGCTTTGTTTGCACACATTGATTGATTTGAAGCACCAGTCACCTTCACTTTATAAATATTTATGTATTGGAATTTTTGTATTTATATCTATTTTATTATTTTGCTTTGTTTGCACATTCATTTGGAGCAATAGTCACTTTATATATATATATATATATATATATATATATATATTTTTTTATTTTTATTATTATTTTTTTTTTTATTTGTTTATATTTAGTTCAATTAGTGTATTACCCTCATGGCTGAGTGCTTCATCCACTATTAGATATTTTTTTCATCCCGAGGTATAGGGTATAGATGATAGCAGCTGGCCTTGTTTAGTTACTCTGTGGAGCGCAGGAGGACATTCCTATAAAGTATGCTATTTTATCGATACAAAAAATCTATTAATTTTAATCAGCTGTCATTTTCACTACTGGAGGTAAAAAGTCCCATTGGTCTTTGTTTTCACATATGGGTGATGCCTCCTCCCATAGTGTAATTGCAATTGATCATTTATCTCAACACTCCACTTATCTGAGTATTTGCAGCAGTGTCAAATATCGCACCAGTTTTATGTTGCCCTCTTTTACTTTTGTAGTCATCTTCCCGGCCTTTTCTGCTCATCTGCTATCCTTACAGTTAGTGTTTTTTATGTGTAGCCCAAGACAATTCCTCTTCTTCCAATGAAGCCCAGGAGAGTCAAAAGGTTGGACACCCCTGCTGTAGATCATTCTAAAACCATACAGATCAAAGGATTTTTCTCAGCAGCATAGAGCAAGAAGCAAGGATCTAACACCACACACACACTGCAGAGTTAGAGCACAGAGTTCCCTGATATCTGGCAGCTGATTGGAGGAAAGGGAAACACCCACTTCTACACAGGCTTACAGACTCATAGAAAAATAATACAGACCTCCGGCTATGACTTGGGTACTTACTGCACAGAAATTGGAATGGACTTCAAGGGAGTATATACCAGGATGATAAACTACAAAGTGGTCTCCTAAATCCCTGTAATAAAAAAAAAAAAGATTTTAAAATTCTGTGCCAAACACATTAATTGCAAATGATTGCCAAGCTTCTTCCACTGTTCTATATCAATTGATGTATATATCCTTCTTGTAATAAAAGAGTGAAAATTTGAGACCATTTGGCCACAAACCTTTTTTTCTCAAAATCATTTGTGTTTAACTAGGTAAATGTATGGGGCCTCAGGTGTGGCCCCTTATGTGTCCAGAAGTTCACACAATATCTTAGTTTTTGTAATTATTGCTATTATTATTTATTGATCTCCTCTGCCCTGTCTGAACATGTGTAAGTCACAGTTTTATTTTTCAGGGTAACAACGTCACAGAGCCATCCCTCCCTCAAAGATCACCAATTTGGATAATAATTTGGGTTGATCCTCAAAATTTTTTATGGATTCCTCAAGGTAAAAAGGTTCAGAAAGGCTGATAAAGCACAACAAAATGTATTTAACTAATGCGTTTTTTAATATATAATTTCTTATTTAGTCTTGCTGGTCCTTTAAACTGTAACTCAACAAATGCTCCAAAACTGAGCAAATGAATCCAATAATATTCATAAACAATATATCCTTTTATAGGAAGAGAAAAAGAGATATACATGAGACTGTATATTGAAATACCTGATCTCGCCAGGTTTCCCGTGCTCGCATTTCTTGTACAAATTGTACCTATTCAGCCCAAACATACGGGATTGAGAGTAAGCAATCATTGTCTAAGAAAAGAGAAAAAACCATTAAAGGGTCTCTGTCATGGGAGAATCATGGAAACTGCCATTGCTTTCTGGCTGTCATGGCTGTGTGTTTTGATGCTTGATCTGGGTCTGAGAATCAAAATAACTTAAAGTGCTTGTCAGCCCCTACATATACCCAGTGACAAGCCTCAGGTGAAACAAAGGTGAAACAAATCCTCCTACATAAGTTGTACCTGTTTATCTGCAGCCACTTCTTCCCAACAGCTGTGCAAATTGCTGAATTTATAAAGCTTGTCTGATAGGTCTGAAAAAAGGCGGTGGAGAGCTGAAATTACACTCTGCAGAGCTCAGTAAGGAGAGCCCTAACCCCTGATTCACATATATGCGTCCATGCGGACCGCGTTTTGTGCGGGCATGAGAGCCCATTCATTTGAATGGACTCCCGTGACACGCAGGGAAGTCCCTGCACGTCTTCTGAAAACGCAGCCCAAACGGGAACCGCGTTTTCCAGTGCGAGTCACGTGCCATTAGAACTATTGGCACCTGCCCACGGGTCTACGATCCTCTGTGTGGGTGGTGCGGCTGCACAGATTTTTGTGCAGATCCGCAGCCGCACCACCCGCACATATGTGAACCAAGCCTTAGCGCTGATTGGAGGGAAGGGACACACCCCCTTCCACACAGCTCACAGGAACAGATCTGTGACTTCCAATCTGTTGAAGGTCCCTCACCGTCACCATTTTTCTCTTGGTGTCAGGAAAACTTGTCAGAAGGAATTCATGCTGATAGCAGAGGAACACGGCAGCAGACAGAAATGACACTTAGTGCTCTTAATTTAGACAAGTACACACTATAGAGGGATAGGCTTTGTTCATATTTAATGTCTGAAGTTTATAACCACTTTAACGTCTTACAGACTCTTGCATACATACAACTTCAGGAAAAGTGGGCTTTAATTCCCAGCCACTGCAATGCCAAGGTGGCCTAAGGATGTGTTCTGATGTGTACTGTGTGATTCTAGCACACTGACTGAGCTGTCACTGACTGCTTTTGGTCATGGTTTGTGATTGTGAGGCAGTGTAACAAGCTCCCAATCATGTCACTGCTGTAAGAGCCAGTCACAGCAGTCACATTATAGAGAAGCCAGGCCTCCTACCCACATTAAAGCCCTTTTAAAGGGCCACCAGAAGGGGTTAAAGTGGACCAGAACTTAAAAAGTGAAGATTTCTTATGTAATGGGGAAATTTCAGAAATGTTAAAGGACAAGTTCACCTTTTTCAACAGGTTACATGTTACACCTATATTTAAGGTGTAACATGTAACATGTTGAGCATCCACCACTTTACCCCCCATCCGCCCTTTCCATGTGACAGTGGGTGGGGGACCTTTTCCCCACACCCGCTGTCACAATTTGAAAACAATGCAGTCATCTTTAACAGAGGTCACGTCATTCATTCACAGAGTTCTGTGAATGAATGCCTACAAGTACTGTAATACATTGCAGCTGATAGCTTGTGGTTCTCAATGTACTTCTAGGGCTGGCTGGTGAGCACTCTCATAGTCCATTGGGCTTCCTGGACTTCAGTAGCTGCCTGCCCGTATCCAAGGCTGATGTTAGAAACCAAAGGACCCCATACAGCCAACCTGACAGGGCCCCCACCCCCAAAAAAACCCAGTTTACTATGCTTCAACTATGAAGGAACACAGTGAGGGATCGGTACCGCTCACTCATTGTGTTCATTCAGGAAAGTAAGGGGCTGGTAAGTGTGACATATTTATCATACCTTTCCCCCACTCTTCATCCTGAAGGATCCTATTGTGTGCTTACACCTGTGAGAAGGAGAAGAGGGAACCCAGCAGTACTGTGGGGGTGGGGGCACACAGGGGAACCTGGGCAGCATGGGGTAATGTATGGTGCACAGGAGGGTGATAAGTGTGGTGAGGGATGGGGCAATTACTGGAACTGATCCCCTGTATAGCTCTCTCCACAGCAACTGAAAGCTTGTGGGAGGGAGAGGAGAAAAAGCCAACTTTCAGCTGCTGCAGACAGATCCATACAGGCAATCGGATCCAGTAATTAACAGTAACATCTCTCAGTGTCAGTTCATCTTTAAATCAGACACAGCCATGCAATTAGAATTTCCTTTAGGAGGCTACCAATGACAGCACACTTACAGTATCACTTTAAATGAAGAGACCTCCTGCTCTCTAGCTCCCTTGTCACCTCTTCCCATGCTAGCTTCCAGGACTTTTGCTGAGCCTCTCCCATCCTCTGGAACTCCCTACCCCAATCTGTCCGACTATCTCTTACTCTCTCTACTTCTAGATGATTCCTGAAAACTCTTCTTCAGAGAGGCATACCCTGCCCCCACCTAACAAATGTACTTTTATTTTCTCCATCAGCTTATCCCCCACAGTTATTACCAGGGGCGGACTGACAACTCATGGGGCCCCCGGGCAATAGGGGATCATGGGGCCCCTGAGTCCTTGCCCAAACTCAAAAAAGCCTATGAAAAAGGTACCAGGGGCATCTCATGGGGCCCCCTACTGACCCCGGGCCCTCGGGCAGTGCCCGAGTTTCCAAATGGTCAGTCCGCCCCTGGTTATTACCTTTTGTATCTCTTGACACTCCCTCTTAGATTGTAAGCTCTAAGGAGCAGGGCCCTCCAATTCCTACTGTATTAAATTGTATTGTAATTACTGTATACTGTCTGCCCTTATGTTGTAAAGTGCTGAGCAAACTGTTAGCGATATATAAATCCTGTATAATAATGTTAATAATAATGGTAGCTGTGGACAGGAGAGGAAGGCTGATTTTAGAACTTACGGTGAACCTGACAGAACTAAAATATGGAAGTTTTCTGATAGCGTATTATTGTTGTAGTTGATTTTCTACTTAAAGCTCATTTGACATCTGACTTCTTTCATCTCTTTATAGACCTGTACCCCCTTATACTATGGTTTGTGACTCATTTTAATTTGGACAGACATAAAGGAGTTTAGTTACTAAAACTGGAGAGTGCAAAATCTGGTGCAGAGAAACCAATCAGATTTCATGTTCAGCAAGCTGACGTTAGAAGCTGATTGGCTACCATGCACAGCTGCACTAGATTTTACACTTTCTAGTTTTCGTAACTCAACCCCAAAGTGTATCTAAAAGCAAGGAAAAAATGTAATATATTGCTGCTTGTAACGGAACCGACCCGGACTGCGCTTGAGTACTTCCGTTAGAAAAAACCGCTTCCCTGTCCGAACACCAACAACAGATACCACAGCCCAGGGGCGGACTGACCATTTGGAAACTCGGGCACTGCCCGAGGGCCCGGGGTCCATAAGGGGCCCCATGAGATGCCCCTGGTACCTTTCATAGGCTTTTTTGGGTGTGGTTTGATTGTGGGCGAGGACACAGGGGCCCCATGATCCCCTATTGCCGGGGGGGCCCCATGAGTTGTCAGTCCGCCCCTGCCACAGCCAACCATACAAGACTACTTTGTAAACAAAACAGGTCTCTTCCCTGTCAGCTCCTGCACACTGCTTTGGATGGCTGTGCAGAGCACTTCCATGCAAAGCAGTGTACTTACAGTAAAGCACACAGACACAAGTGAAACAGCACACAGCACACATTTAACCCTTTGATCACCCTTAATTTTAACCCCTTCATGCCCAGTGTCATTAGTACAGTGTCAGTGGTTTTTTTTTTTAGCACTCATCACTATATTGGTGTCACTGGGGATGTCAGTGACACCAAGTCAGCTCCCCCCCAGTGTCACAATGCCGGCCGCAGTCCCACTATAAGTTGCTAATCGCCGCTATTACTAGTAAAAATATATATTATTTAAAAAAAAAAACAGTATATATACCGCCATTTGTAAACGCTATAACTTCACGTAAACCAATTAATTTACACGTATTGGGATATTTTTTAGCAGAGACATGTTGCAGAATACATTTTGGCTTACATTTTTGACAAAATTTTATTTTTAAAATTTTTTTAGTGGACATGTTTAAAAGCAAAAAGTCGGCCTTTTTTTATAGCGCAAAAAATAAAAAATGCACAGGCGATCAAATACCACCAAATAAAAGCTCTATTTGTGGGAAAAAAGGACGTAAATTTCGTTTGGGTGCAGCGTTGCATGACCACACACAATTGTCAGTTAAAATAACGCGCACCGATGTAATGCAAAAAATTGTCTGGTCAGGAAGGGGGGTAACTCCTCATGAGGGCAAGGGGTTAGAGGAATAATATTTTGCAAGAAGTACAGCATGTATTTTAAAGTCCCTTCAATTTATAAACTTTTCAGTTTTCTTCTGTTTCCCTATTAGGGAGATTTGTCTACTCATGAAGAATGAGTTACTAACCCATCCCTGCTTACTAAAAGACATGGTTTTATTACTAATTGCCCCACTGCAAGGGAAGATATTTTAGTTTTCTGGTGTTCAGCTATAAAGAAGCATAAATAAATAGGTGTAGTTATAAATGCCCCAGTGGGAGGAAAAAATGCCCCAGTGTTGGTGGTTGGTTGGACAGCTTTGCCTGGCAGTGCCACTGCCCTAACTGGCACACAGTTTGGCCTATCAGCTGTCCATTGAATTCTGTGATGGTCAGCCTGGCCAGGTAAGTGCCCATTCACTTCAATGGTGGCACATGTTTTGTATTCTACTAAAAAAAATGGAATAGTTCCACAAGATCTGGCAATGTTGGAGACGTGTTGGAGACAAGAAATGCCCGTAGCGGATAAGAAAGAATGAAAATAGCGCAGGGCATGCATGACTAGGCCCCAGAGTGGTGAAGGGGAACGGAAAGGGTTAAAGTTAGCTCCAGGGGGTTGGGATTTGATTGTGGGGTTATCTGGTTGGCAGAGGTGGAGTGTAGGTGGGGTCCGCGGCACCTTAGGGTGGGGGGTTCTGTTGAGGGGGGGCGTCAGTGGAGCAGGACGTTAGGAAGGATCAGAGCTTCCCTCTCGCCCTCCCTGTTTTGTTGGGTATCGGGTCCCTCCCGGGAAAGACAAAAAAAAAAAAAAAAGGGGTTATGTTGGTTCGTGGGCGGTTGTTGGTCTTTGGAGGCGGTTCTCATCTTGGAAGGTAAAACAATGGTGTGGGACCCATCGGTGGTATGGGGTGCCCGGGGGGACATTCCCAGTTAACCAAGGTTTAACTGGAAGGTGGTGGTGCTGCACTGCGGATGGTATGGTTGGTTGCGGCTGGAGGCCTAGTGTATATGGTTGTCCGCATTTCGGATCGTTTGGGGGTGCCTTCGAAGACCAACAACAATTCTTTGGTTTCCGTTATAAGGAACGGCTGATGTATTTAAAATGTGAGTTGTTAATAAAAGGCCATGTTGGCCATTTTACTCCAAAAGGGTGTCATGTTTTTTGTAAAGTATAATTGGTTAAGGGGTGGGGAGTGGTATGGATCGGTAATGGTGGTGGTAGGAGTGGACAAGCCTATCTCTGGTGCAATAGTCATGGTTTTACTGAAATCATTGATATCTGCAGATTAATAAACCGTGTGCAGAATAATGTATGTATGTGACAATAAGTTATGGTTTTCTTTATTTCCCTTTGGGAATTCTTAAAATGGATCTAATACTTACTTTGATATTACATTTTGTGTCTTTGGACTTTGTAAATTCACATTTATCATCCTTACAGCAGGCAGCTTGCAGTTCTGACCACAATCTAAACAACAAAAAATAGACAGCATATAGTGTATGTGCAGACACCTTATTTGTTCTTCTATTAGTAGGCAGACATAACAGCAGGAGTATTATCAGTCGCAAAACTTTAAAATGGTAGGAAACTTGAATGAAAAAAAAATCTCCTTGCAAGGTAATGTCATAATGTGCTAGTATGCATCACATACTAGCACATTATGAAAGACTTTCCATGGAATGAAGCCCTCCAGCGCCGCGCTGTCACCACTTCAGAGGCTTCCATCTTCACCCTGTCTTTCTTCTAGGTTTGCAGGTTCTGGACGCTCGATTGGCCGAGCCACCATTACATTACTCCCGCGCATGCGCGTGGGAGCCTGGTCCATGGTACAGAGCTTGGAAGGAACAGCATGGGTATGCCGTTCCTTCAGAATGCGTGCGCTGGTGCAGGGGCGGACTGACCACTCAAGCACTCGGGCACTGCACGAGGGCCCAGGCTCAGTAAGGGGCCCCATGAGATGCCCCTGGTACCTTTCATTGGCTTTTTCATAGGCTTTTTTGGGTGTGGGCAAGGACACAGGGGCCCCATGATCCCCTATTGCCAGGGGGCCCCATGAGTTGTCAATCCACCACTGCACAGGTGACATCATCGGCTGGAGGGACACTGAATATCTCCTAAATGGTGCACGTTTAAGAGATACTCCATGTTCCTACAGTTAAGCTTTATTATAACCTCACCTGTAGGTACAAATGTCCAGTGGGAGTTTACTTCCACTTTAACCCCTTGACGCCGAGCGTACAAATATTCGGCCTCTCAGCATCTGGGCCTTGACGCCGAGCGGCCGCATATTTGCGTGCTATTAGAAAATACACATGTGCTGAGAGCGCGTGCTCAGGGCAGTGAGTGGTAATGATGCGCTGTAACCTCTAGCAATAAATCATTGAATGTGATCCAGTTCTTTATGTTTACATTAAATTTTTTAGATAAGTCTATGAGTGTGTTTATTTTCTTTTTGGGATGTTGGGGTGTGGAGAGCAAAATTGCATGGGGGGAGAATCTCAGACTCTGTTTAAACACGGCCCCTTTAAGCCACACCCAATATTTAGTGTAATTTAAACCACACCAATTTTTGGCACTTCACGCGCTTCACGCACCACCATCCTCTTTTTCATGTTAGGCCACACCCATGAATGAATGCTCCACCCCTAATTAATATACTGCTCACCCTACACTGTCTTTCTGGACATACAGGGAAAAAAGTGTCCCTAAAAATTTTTGGGAAATGTAGCTAGAAGGTAGAAGCAAAGTATGTACATGTGCAGAGGCGGCCTATCAGTTTCCCTGTATTCTGCCAGCAGTGGGGAATGTGCCCGGGGGCAATAAATAGATAAAAGAAAAACACGCTGAAAATATTCACTTACTCTGTGTCTATTAGACCATGATAATAAGCAAAGTAAAGAAGAGAGTTATCATTTATGTCATAATCGGTCAGTCCATTTCCTATAGCAATTCCCTGCAAATATATATAAACATATATTACATACAAATATACTGAATGTCTAGGCAAAATAAAAAACAAAAAAAACTTTTCACTACATCTACAAAATAAATGTATGTTTGCCTGTGTTTTATCTATTTAAAAAACACTCCAAGTAGAGAAAAGTACTTGTTGATCTGCCAGAAATCCAGTTTGTTCCTAACTTCTAGTTTCAGTTGACAACAGAGTGCCTTTGCTGTAGTGACATCCCAAGCAGTGCTGTCAGTCCTGTCTGTTAAACTACAGAACCCGTCTCTATTCTTCCACACATTCCTATATGACTTTCTTTTCCAGCAGAACAATGCTGCCACCTTCACTTCCAAGAGCCTGTCCACATATTATATTTAGTGAAAGGTCTCCTGGGAGATGTAGTTCTGGGGGCATGACTACATCAATAGGAGCTTCCAGCAGTTGCCCCTGCAATAGTTTTAGAAGCATGGTGATGACATCATAGTGAGTAATTAAAGCTGTATCTCACTACAGTAACAAGGTTAAAGATAAAAATTTAATTAACAGGACCTGGTCCACGTGCTATGGAGATGCCCCAAGTTGACTAGATACTGGAGAGAAATAGTACAGGTTATTGCAAGAATTTTGCTAATAAATAAAACTGGATCCCAGAAATTGGTGTATGGACATGTTAGACGAGGAAATATATCAACCTGATACTATAATTTAATCCTGGCCGCAAGAATTATTTTCCCAGCATGGAACAGATAGCACAAAAATGGTTTTCCCCAAACATACCCACATTTCAACAATGGAAGCCCCATGTAAAAAAAAGGAAAATAATCTGTCAAGAAAGGGGTTGCCTTCCCCCCATTATTTGGAATAGATGGTTTTCCTCCCCAGATTTGCACCTCATTCCCTAATTCTGCAACAATTACTGCAATAATTGGGGCTACTGTACACATGTCCTTGTAGGCAATGCATGGTATATTCAGCATATGTGGTCTTCCAAGTTTCTTAGACAATGCACAACAGGCAGTTTGCAATACAGGTGTAATACAAATAAATACACATGCAATGTTTTCTGAGCATTATTATTTTATCCAGACAATCAATCTGGACTAAATTGCGGTAATGTTATATAACCATGGTAGTATGTGTGACAGAACGTCTGTCACCCCAATTCAGTGATTCCATCAGAGAACTGCTTCCCCGCTGCTGGAACACCGGACCAAGCTAGTATAGCTGGGCATTGCACCCAAGAACTAGATGGCACTAGCTCAGGAGCAACTGGAACTACTTTACTGAACAGAAATACTGATTTTATAGACTTCAGGAATAGGGGCAGCCTCCACATGAACAATAAAAACAAATATTATATATTAGGATAAATATCTCATAATGGTTTGGTAACAAGGTAAAGTAGAAATAATACTAATCACATCTCCAGGAGGACTAGCAGACAGACAGAAACAATAGGTGACTCAATTAACTCAATTAACAATGGGAATGCATACCTAGGAGGAAACAATGGTAAGACAGTAAACACATAACACCTTAACAAACAGATTAGAGCAAGAGTCCTCAGCATCAGGATGTTTTGAGCTGATTATATCAACATCTTCTAGGAGTCTATGAGTCTAGGAAGGGTGGAAGCAGTCAATGCTGGTTTGGGCACAGAGACCCTAAATCTGTATCCTGGTCCTCCAGTTCTCAGAGTCTGTGTGTTATGGGGAGACATGGACTAGAATCCAAAGTAAACAACTTCAAAGGTCACCCCAGGCACAGACCTCCCAAAGAATAGTGCCCCCTCAGATGCCAGGGCCATGGTCAGTAGGCAAGAGGCTAGCCTGCAGTCCCCTCCAAAAGACCCTGTCCCGGTTGGGTCTGTCACAGTATGTGTCTTGTAACATGAACATAGATATACTATGATACATTATGTTATTCTAAAGCGTCATCTACTACATTGAAATCATATATTTTGTGTCATGGGAAACTCAGAGAAACCCTTATGTAGCATCAGTAGCAGTCATTCTGCAGAGGTGAATTACATAGGTGCTTCTCTTATACAGTATAAAAGCCTCAGGACACAATGGCATGTTCTCATTGTATGTGTTGTAGACTAAGGAAAAGGGTGGAAGAACCCTCTTAGGTAGGTAGATTAGCATCAGTGTCATTGCAAGTGGCAAGCTATAATAGCGTATGCCAGGATACTCAGGCTGTCTGTGCTCATTTTCATGCATGTGCTGCTACTCATGAGCCTAGATGTGTAACTGGACTTGTAAGAAGATGCACCAATGTAACACGGTGCACACGTAGGTGCACAAACACACCCATAGTATCATTACTGGATGGTCTTTATCTTTACCCTTGTGACTTGTGTTCCTGAAAAATTGCTTGATCCTGTTACTGACCCAGTTCCATCCGACTATTCTTTGGATTCCCCTTGTTGCTCATGTTTGCTACTGATCTGTGTTGCTGACTCTTGGACTTTCGCTAAGATTGTGCCTGCTGATTTTGTATCTAGCTGCCAGCACATTACTGTCCCCTGCCTGCCTCTGACCTGGATTCCGATCGTGATTCTGTACTAATCTCCCTGGCTGTTACCAAACTTAGTTTGTGAGCTGACCCCTTGCTTTTGCTCATCCAACCTTAGTATCTCCAAGTTCAAATTCACAGAACCAAGTCCCTGGCACCTGCTACCTTCTGCTGTTGTAACAGTCCCTGCCTCTACCACCGCTGGGTCATCTTGAGCTCCACTAACAGGTACAAGACAGCATCTCAGCCCTAGACTGCTGAACACTGACCACTGTGTCTGTGCTTTTTTAAAATAAAAAATGCTTATACAGGAGTCTGACCAACTGTGTCTGGTGCAGGAGCGGACTGACAACTCATGGGCCCCCGGGCAATAGGGGATCATGCCCCTGTGTCCTTGCCCAAACTCAAAAAAGCCCTTGAAAAAAGGTACCAGGGGCATCTCATGGGCCCCCTACTGACCCCCGGGCCCTCGGGCAGTGCCCGAGTCTCCAAATGGTCAGTCCGCCCCTGGTCTGGTGCTTTGCTAGCTGACTATAAAAATGGCTGTGTTGCTTTTGTAGGGTCAACCCTGAAGGAGCTGCTGGTGATGGTGGACCCTCTGCTCTTCCATGACTCTCTAAGCTACACGGTTCCCATTGACACACATGGTCATATACTAAAGACGGTTTGCACCTTTGGATGTAAGGGTTAGTGGACTACTATTCTAAGAATGTACAGGAATGAAGCCACAAACAGCTTGACAGTAAATCATTGAATCTATTAAGGCAATTCAATGTAATATAGTGCAAATCAAATGCATAGACAGTGCATAGACAAAAAAGCAGTAGAATAGCAAAATGAGCACCAAATCACTAACCTGCACTTAAAGAAACTACAGCACTGTTAAACTGAACCTTAACCAGATTACTAGAGTCTCTGAATAACCTCAACCAGTTCAGAAGTGTCAAAAGAGTCCTGGTGTACACATTGTTCATACAACCCCAACAGCTGATGGATGTATGCATTCCTGGAGAAGGGTTACCTCTGAAGGTGGTGAAAGTACCTGGTGCCTAGTGTTTAATGTTGGGGCCCGTCTTCAAATAGTTCACTGTCCCTTTAAGAATGTTAATCAATCATAAAGACCAAGCCGCTAAGTGTGAGCAGTCTCTGTTTTAGCTAATCATGTGCAGCAAGAGTTAGGGCATGTAGTTCAGTTCACCACTTCCTGGCATTCCTGGCAGCCGACTAACCTGAACCCAACAGATTGGCAATTTGCGGTTCCCAATGATCTGGTTTTAGATCCTCACACAGGCCACAGCTCGAAACCTGAAGACACAGCAATTCTATCTCTCTCAACTCAGTCTCTGAAGGCAGCTCCAGCAGGCTCAGATGCAGGTCTGTCCCCTCTCTCTGATGTGGGGGAACGGGCACAGCAACAGGCCCTTCTATCGCCTCCTAAATGGCTCCGGTCCATTGGCTGTTTGACATAGTGCTTGGATGTAGATCTCTGGTCTCTGTTGTTCTCTCTCCAGGACTGCTCAAATCTTGCTCACTTTACCCGGGAAAGACTAAGGCTCCCCTCTTTTAGCAGAAAGGATTTGTGGGAAATGAATTCCAGTAGCCATAAGTCTCTATAAACAGTTATGATGCAGTGCTTATTTAAGAACTACAATTGCCATGAGGCTCTGCAGCTTAGCCAGTTTTCTTTCTCATGCTCCAATTTACTCAAGCTCTCCTGCTCCCTTATTGGCTCAAGCTCTCTGCCAAGGAGATAGGATGTGGGTGGGGGGGAGAAGCGAGGGGTCAACTGGGGGCAAGAGCAGGCTGCAGCACTCAGCTATACTTCTATGGTGAAATTTTCTCTTTGGATACAGTTATAATACAAGAGGCCTGGGTAGCACTACCCCCTTAGGAGACACTATATTTGGTTCCCCCCTATAGTCCTGAACAGCCAGACATCACATATTTCCACAACAGCTTGCATCCAGAGTCAAAAAACAGTCCCTGAGCTTCTGTTTTGTTGTTTTATTGAGAGCCATTTGAACTGGGATAGGGTAAGGGGGATAGGCCAAAGGGAACCGACAATTGAGGACAAACTTCCTGGAACTATTCACAAGCTTTCTCTGCAGCACAGTCTCTGTTGGAGAGCTAGCCAATATCTTCCTGATGTACCACCCCAGAACCTAAATGAAATTCTTCTCTTCCAGAGTAGGGGATCTTGCTCCTGTCCCTTTATATAGGTGAACAGTCACTAGTAGGGGGCTAATCTGGTTTCCCACCAGAGTGTTCCTTCCCCTATCCTCCCAGGGGTATAGGGTATACTCACTTAGAATCTCTCCTGTGCTGCTTGTGGGTTGGCTGCTGTTACCAGGCCTATTATCAGGACTGCTCCTTCCCTGCCATACAGGTGGTCCTTGCTCAGGGGACCAGTGAGTTTCAAGCTTTCCTCCTTTCCAGCTCCAGGCTTGCAGGCAGGCCCCATCCCACTAGGCCTCCTGGCAGCCTTCTTCCTCACAACTTCACATCTTCCACCTTACTCTACACACGCCACACACTCCTGCCCACTGAGCAGGCTCCAACACTTTTAAGGGAGCCCCAGCCCCTTGCCAGTCCTTCTATTGGGGATTGGCTGAGGTTCCTCAAGAGTGCAGCCAGTCACTCCTCAGATCCACCCACTGCCTCTAAAGCCTTCCTGCAAAAGCTTCAGAGCAGGTGGAAATTCCAGGGGGGTTGGCCTACAGCCCTGACCACAATTACACCTCTGGCTATTACACCTGAGCTGCTAATCAACTTCTGTCTAACCATTAGGATCTGGCTCCCCCTAGCTAAACTAAGAGGGTGCTACACCTGCATTCCACATCTAACAGAACTAGTCAAATGTTGAGCTATAATCTGACCATCTTCAGAGCAACAAATTTTGTGTGTACTACAGATTACTGCCATAAACCTGGAAACTGATTCTGCCAGCATAGCAAGTTTGTGGTAATGTAGAGTTTAGCAGGAAAGCAGTGTATACAGACACTGGGGTGGATTTACTAAAGTGCCTTTAGCAAATCTACCCACTGCGTCCACTGCTTGTCTTAAGGGTGCAGTAGCGATTAGGTCATGCCTTTAATCGCCTCTTAGATGTTTCCCTTACAATCTTTCAGCCAGTCAATGACTGTCTGAAACCATAGAATCAGGTGTCAAGGGCGGAATGCCCAAGGGCCCGGGGGCACTACAGGGCCCCATGAGAGGCGCAGTCTGTCCCTGTATGTGCCGCTGCTGAAATAAGCAAGCATTGAGGGGACAAACAGTAAGGCAGGCACTTCGGACACCTCTCCTCCTGGAGTTTCAGCAGAGGGGCGGGTTCACATCCCTGCCACGAGAGATGGAGGGGCGGGCAGAGTATGCAGCAGGTCAGTGTGTAATCCCTGGACCCTGGTGACAGCACTGCAGCTTCATGTAGTAGATAGGGGGGAGAGAGAGAGGGGAGGGGGGGAGAAAGAGGGCAGAGAGAGAGAGGGGGGGGAAGAGGGTAGAAAGAGAGGGGGGGAGAAAGATGGTATAAAGAGGGGGGGGGAGAAAGATGGTAGAAAGAGAGGGGGGGGAGAAAGAGGGGCAGAAAGAGGGGGGGGAGAAAGAGGGTAGAAAGAGAGGGGGGAGAAAGAGGGCAGAGAAAGGGAGGGGGAGAAAGAGGGCAGAGAAAGAGGGGGGGAGAAAGAGGGCAGGGTGGGGAAGAGGGAAGGAAGGGGGTTAGAAAGAGGGCAGAAAGAGAGGGGGAAGAGCAGGAGGGGGGGAGAAAGAGGGACGAGGGGGGTGGAGAAAGAGGGAAGAGAGAGGGGGGAGGGCAGAAAGAGGGGGGGAGAAAGAGGGCAGAGAGAGAGAGAGGGGGGCAGAAAGAGGGCAGAAAGAGAGGGGGGGAGAAGAGAGGGCAGAAAGAGAGGGGGGAGAAAAGGGGCAGAAAGAGAGGGGGGGAAAGAGGGCAGAAAGAGAGGGGGGAGAAAGAGGGCAGAGAGAGAGAGGGGGGAGAAAAAGAGGGCAGAGAGAGAGAGGGGGGAGAAAGAGGGCAGAAAGAGAGGGGGGAGAAAGAGGGCAGAGAGAAGAGGGGGGGGAAAGAAAGAGGGCAAAGAAGAGGGGGGGGGGGGAAATAGGCAGAAGGAGAGGGGGGGAGAAAGAGGGCAGAAAGAGGGGGAGAGAAAGGGGGGGAGAAAGAGGGCAGAGAGAGAGAAAGGGGGGAGAAAGAGGGGCAGAGAGAGGGGGGGGGGGGGAAGAAAGAGGGCAGAAAGAGAGGGGGGGGGGAGAAAGAGGGGGGGGGAGCGAGGGCAGAGAGAGAGAAAGGTGGGGGGGGAGAAAGAGGGCAGAGAGAGAGAAAGGGGGGAGAAAGAGGGCAGAGAGGGGGGCAGAGAAAAAGAGGGCAGAGAGAGGGGGGAGAAAGAGGGCAGAGGGGGGGAGAGCAAGAGGGCAGAGAGGGGGGGGAGTGTGGAAAGAGGGCAGAGAGAGGGGGCGGAGCAAAGAGGGCAGAGAGGGGGGGGGAGAAAGAGGGCGGGGGAGAGAAAGAAGGCAGAGAGAGAGGGGGGGGAGAAGAAAGAGGGCAGAGAGAGAGGGGGGGGAGAAAGAGGGCAGAGAGAGGGGGTGTCACAAAGTGTTCTGGACCGGGTCACACCAACCTAAGGACGCCCTGTATATAACCATTCATCCATAAATCATTTTCAATAAATCTTTACTGTATAAAAAAATAAGTTCTCACCTTCAGGTTTATACTTTCATCTTTTAATAATTCAACGGCCAGCTTTGGAACATAAAAGCCTCCATAACTTTCTCCTGCAATGTAAAATTCATTTTCATGAACTCTGGGAACAGGCGGAAAAAATCTTTTCATTGCCATGTAGTTGTCCTGAGCAACCTGGAAAAAGAGGTCATGCTTTAGGTATGTACAAATGTAGATAATAGAGAAACACAGCAAAGAGCCAGCAGGTCTTTATAAAGTGAAAAAGAATGATTGTATCAGAAAGTATTTTACTGGATTTGGTAACAAAGAAAAGGTCTGATGATGCAACCAAAGCATGAATAGGACATTCTCAAATGACATGAATCCGACTATAATTTCTAGTAGGTACAAGGCAATTTTGCTGAACTTGATTTTGTATGAAAAGACCTGTAATTTCGTTGATTAGCATGATCATCAATGGCTTCATGGTTAAACTCCATTGAAAATTGAGTTCTCTCTGTTCTGCTGATAGAACAGAGCCTTGGGGGCAAGTTGCACATGCTGGTTTGGTGTGTATTGATGGAGACCTGTAATTTCGTTGATTAGCATGATAAGCAATGGCTTCATGGATAAATTCCATTGAAAATTGAGGAAAAGAAGCTCTGGCTTTAGCTATACATTAAGGTAAGTTCATTACCTTACCTTGAGTTAATTTAAAGTGTGACTAAACCCACAACAGTAAAATCAGTCTGTATATGCAGTAAAGCATGCTTGTTATACTCACTGTGGAACCTAAGGGGTTAGTGCCCCCTGCATTGTGTAAATAGGATGTTTGATCCTGTCTTCTGCGATCTTGATTCTTCTACTGTCCCCAATCATCTGCTGATAGAACAGAGCCTTGGGGGCAAGCTGCACATGCTCAGTTTGGTGTGTATTGATGGAGAGTTTTTTTTCTTTGGGGGGGCATGTGATCAGCAAAGGACCAATCAGTGCTGTCAGACAGAAGGTCAGGGGTTATGCAGCCTTATAGGAAAATCAGGGGAAAATGAAAACTCCTCCTATAAAAATAACCAGTGCTCAGCTGGACACTGATAGAAGTCACAAGATTGCTATATACTGCTGATGAAAATAACTGCATTTCATGTTCTGTGTACTGTGGGAGTCCAGACATAGTAAACGCAGGGTCCTGGGTTTAGTAACACTTTAATTAAATTAAAGGAATTTAAGTTAGGTTAAGTTAAAGCTCCTGCCGGCAGAACACAATACTGCTGCAGGAGGGCTTCCTCTATCAACATGGCTGTGTTGGTGGAGGGAATCAAGCAATTTTCTTTCTTCCACCCATGGTCAATGGAAAGACAATTGCATAATCTATGGCCTGCCTTGGTATGTTTTAATTACATGCACTTAATACAGTAATGTTGAGATTCAAATTCCAGAGTGCGAATTTTATAGTTTCTCAAAATCAAATTTCAAATTGAAGTTAACTGGAGATTATTTTTGATGGTCACTGATGCTGTCCCTGAAAATTATGCTGTTCTGTAACACTGGGTTCATCTTTATGTCATTCCCCAAAAATTCTCATCATCAAAACTGTATGGAAGGCCCCTTCCATCTTTTTTTTCGAATTAGCATGGTCTTAACAGCTCTCCCCAGCTTCCTATGCCATTTCAGTAACAATAGTTTGTCTATTACCCCTCATGGGGCCAAAAGGGACCATCAAAAATGGTCAGTGCAATTTTAATTCAAAAATCTAGAATATTGTTATTACAAATTTGAGACAAATTCCATCATTGTTAACTAGCATCAAGTCTTAAAGTTTTAAGTTTCTAAAATTAAAACGACTGGAGCATAATTAAAATTAACAGGCTTATTGTTTGTAGTGCAGTAAGGTTGATAGCTGAAGCTTTCTTTGCTCCAGTTTGAATGTTATTCTTTGCTTTCCTACAGTTTACATACACTGACTCAAAATTAAAAGAGAGAAAGAGTGAAAATTAACTTTTTTTGGTGAAGTTTGGTATTGGTGTAGTAATGTTATGGGAATTTGTTGAATTGAATGGGTTGCTATGGTACACTAGAATTTTCCCATGCTTGTTCTGATTATCAGACAGATAAAATTGTTATAATTATCTTACAGCTGTCATGCTTTTGTGTGGGGTAAAGCTGACACCCAGATCTAATCATATCCACTTGAATACCAAAAACAAAAATAAAAGCTTAGTTGAACCATGACATTTTGCTTGTGTGTGACCATATCTAATAACACTCTGTCAACAATGCACCATACGTAGGATGGTCATTATTGCCTTTCAATATGGAGGTCTCTTATTTTGCAAATTTTAGATTTAAAGAGACCCTCCAGTGGATATCTGTAAGTTTATGCATGCATAGCAGCAGTGTGAAGTTTTGGAGAAACTAGTAGAGTCTAATTTTTCCATATTGCTTGCCAAACAGGGACAAGATCTTTAAGAGTGCATGCTCAAGCTGAAAAAATAGATTTTTTTTCAACTTACCTGTAAAATCCATTTCTTTGAGTACATCACACGACACAGAGCAGGCTATAATCATTTACTATCTGAATTATGTGCCATCTAAAGGTGAATAGACACTGGAAGACCAAAAGCAGACAGTAAGTCCTCCCCTATATAACCCCCCTCCTACACAGCAAGTCCATCAGTTTTGTAGCAAGCAATGAACTACCAGGAAGAGGGGAGGGACCTCTGTGTCCCATGATGTACTCAAAGAAATGGATTTTACAGGTAAGTATGTAGCAAAAATCCAGTTTTCTTTATCGTACATCAGGGGACACAGGCTATGATCTTTACTATCTGGGATGTCCAAAAGCAATGCCCTTGAGGGGAAGGAGACACATATCACAGAAAAACCATCACCAGCCCAAAGGACCTATTCTGCAGCTTGTAACACACTGCAGCCAAAGGTGGTATCCTCTGTAACTCCAACATTCACTTAGTAGAATTTTGTGAATGTATGAACCAAAGATCATATAGCGGCTTTGCAAACCTGAGCCATTGACGCCTGATGGCGGATAGCCCAAGATGCTCTCGCACTCCTGGTAAAGTATACTCTCACCCAAAAGGGTGGGACTTTACCCTTCAAGCCATAGGCTTGACTGATTAACTGGTGGATTCAGTGAGAAATAGTAGACCTGGATGCCGCCTGCCCTTCCTGGGCCCTTCTGAGAGCGCAAACCAGGATTCTTTACCTGTGCCGCAAAACTCTATTAAATCCTGACCACCCGAACTACCTTCAGATCATTCAGCGCTCCTTCCCCTGCTGACTGTGGGCTAGGAAAAGAGGAAGGCAAAATACTGTCTTTATTCAAGTGAAAACTATAAACCACTCTAGGCAAGAAAAATGGATAAGGACGCAATATCACTTTATCATGATTCAAGACCAAGAACGGTTCCTTTCATGAAAGAACCACCAGCTCTGACACACTTCTTGCTGAAGTGATAGCAACCAAAGAAGCTACTTTCTGAGTCAAAGGACTAATGGAGTTTCCTGAATTGGTTCAAAAGGTGGCTCCTGCGAGGACAGCTCAAACCTAGTTCAGGTCCAAAGGACACAAGGGTGCTCTTACAGATGGGACCAACCGTGTTACACCCTGCACAAAGTATTAATCAATGGGTAAAAAACTCTGGGAACAAATGGATAGCGCCAAACTCTGACCCCCAATGGTACTTAAGGTCAATTAATCTCTGCGGATGCCATAACCTAGCTTTACACTAGGCAGAAAAGATTTCAAGGTCCTGTAATGGAAGCTCATTTAAGCCAGCTTCCTGGCACTCAACAGTGCAGAGATAACTGGACCCAGGACCCCCTGATCCTTTCAGACTTGGGCTTCAGGAGCTAAGCCTCCAATCCCAGCAATTGTAAGCAAGATACATTATTGGTCTCCAGACAATAGGTCTGGGTGGACCAGAAGTGTCCAAGGAGCCTCCACTGCTAGAGTCACTATGTCAGTGTACCAAGACCAAGACCTTCTTCAGCTAGGCCAGACAACCACTATTGTGGTCAGTGTTACCTCCTCCCGGATCCTGCTCAAACATGATGCCATAGTTGAATCAGGAGAAGGCTTGGATCAGGGAGAACTGGTCTTTAAGGTGTTACCAGTGTATCTACTCTTGTTACCTGTGGGACTCTCGTTCTGGGCACAACCTGTCTAACCTGTTATCAAGTAGATCCTGCCAGAGTACCCCAGCTCTGGTAGGCTGCCAAGAATATCTCAGGATACAGCGTCCACTTTCCCTGTATTAGCTGCTGACGACTGGGGAGAAAAACCCCTGCTAGTTTTCTATACTGGGGATATGTACTGCCAACAGACATACAGACAGACAAAATGTGGTTCAACTTTTCCTGAACCGCACGACTCCTGGTGCCGCCCTGGTGGTTGATATACGCCACTTCCGTAGCACTGTCGGACCGATTCCTTACCACAACCTGTTCGACTGGTTTGTCCAATAATCCAGCGCAAGGTGTACTGCTCGAAGGTCCAAGATATTGATGGGCAGTATTCCCTGTGGAGACCAAGTCCCCGTAAACTGTAGCCACCTTCAAACCAGCCCCTCAACCAGAGACTAGATTTGATGGTTCCCATAACAACCACCAATTCAGACTCTGCAATAGCCCAGGGACAAAGACCTCCGCCAATCCAATGATTAGAGCTTCATGATCCAGACGGACAGCATGTTCTTCTGGAGTGGAACTGCATGTAGGAAACTGCTTCAACGTACGTTTTCCTCATGCAGAGATGTACTGAAGGATACCTTTTTTCTCTTATATTTTGCTTTAAACTTGAAACCAACTGCTCCCTGAGCAAAGGAACATTAGGGTATTTTGAGATTGACACCCCCTGTATCCCCAGCTAGGAGCTTTGTGAACACTCGGGGGGCTGTGACCAGCCCAAAAGGGCAGTGTCCCAAAACAAAAATGGTGATTCTTTACTGTTAATTGCAGAAACCCTACAGACCCTAAAAAAGTTGGCACACAGAAATTTGCACTGTTGAGGGCTATTGACACCTGAAATTTATCTCTCACCATTGATCAGACCGATCCCGTCTGAAACAGAAGGACATCTAGACTTATGTCTAGTTCCTTGAGATCTAAGATAGACCTCAGGTCCCTGTTTGGTTTTGGGCCCGTAAACCTGTCGAGTGTCTTACAATAATGCTTCAAGCAAAAATGCAAAGACATAAGCTTGATAACTTTATGATGAACCAGAAGGACCCAAGAGATGTACCTAACCTATTATTTTAAAAATATATTCTTCACATTTTTTGTAAATGTATAAAAAGTAATTTTGACATATATTTTTAAATGCATTCCAAAAATGTAGATTTGTATTTTAAAGACATACAGTATATTTGAAATGTATTTTTAAAAATATTTTTCATATATTTTGTAATAAAAACATACAACATACAGTATATATATATATATATATATATATATATATATATATATATATATATAGTTGTTGAAATATATTGACTATGGCCCAAATTGTAGCATTTCAAATATAGGTCAATATATTTGGAAAGAAATATTTTCAAATTATATTTCAAAATATATTTTTCTTCCATGTGGGAAGGAATGTAGACATCCCTTGTGACAGCAACAGGCAGTGACAAGTACTGGTAAGGGAGAGACCTGGAGTCTATAAGTCCCCAGATCCCTCCGCTGCCCCTAAAAGCATTTGATCACACCAAGATTGGTATGCTCAAATGCTTTTCATTTAAAAAAAATGGAAACCAAAATTGATATGTGTATGCTCATTGCTTCTAGGTTTCCTATAACATTGGCGAACAATTCCAGTCTTTGTTCTCCTCTCTGATCAGCCAGTAGAAGCACCGGCTGGTCAATCGGGTGTCCCAGGGGGAAGGGACAGCCTGAGAAAGCCACGGAAGGTAGCGGGGGGAAGGGAGGTGGGCGCTGCTTGTAAAAGCAATCCAGCGGGTAGTTAGCCTCTAGGATCGCTTTTACAAGAGAGCCGAGAGTCTGCTCTGGGGTTATGCCTGTGGCTGTGGACATTATCCCGGTATAACCAGTTGAAGTCCAGCGTCGTATGGGTACGTTGCTGGTCCACAAGTGGTTATAAAAAGAAAACAGGCTGAAGGATCTATATAAGTGGTAAAGTTTGGGCTAGGAACTTTACTTTTATTCTCTATCCACAACACTACAGATAATCCCTAGATATGCTCACACTACTAATGAAAGTTGGGAGGAACATGATCCATTTCTTCCAGTGCACAAAGAAAAGTGGAATTTGTATTGAGTGTCCTATAGGTACAGTGAACCTCCAAAGGTGCTCAAAGATATTAGATGACAGTCTCCCAGACTGGGAAAAATATGCAGTTTATTGAGGAGGAGCAACTGGGCAGTTTAGAAAACCTTGTTTGCTTGCTATTGCCATCTTTCTGATAAGCCTAAGAGTTGTCTGCTGCAAGTCTCCATTATGCCTATCCATAAGCAAAATATGACTGACCACATGCCCAGCATAGATACCTGTTAATGTCAATGGTTAGATTGAAGTGAACCTGTGCTGTGTTCATGAAGGACAAAGTTTACATTAGTCGTCATCCCCAGCAGCACACATTTACCTTTCCTTAGCTCCCCTGCCACTCTGTTTAGCTGCTGGGAGCAGGAGAGGCCACCAAGTGCAAGCTCTGAGCTGGCCAGGTCATAGCTTACACAGGGCTATGAGCTCTTTACAAAGCATGCAGGTGGCATAAAGGAGACACTAAAGGATTGAAAGGTACCTATAAACTGTATGTTACACAATGACAAATAAAAAAGTCTCACCTGTGTGTCATTTATTTGATAGCTTTTGTCATCAGAGTAGGAATATCCAACACCAGCTGGGGTTTCCAGGTACAGCATATTTGCAATCTAAAATATAAAGATAATAAAAGCAAAGGTGTGACAAGAAACGCACAATGAATTTCATATATGCTGTCCGCTATTAGGCTGTTATGTTTTAGTTTTTTGGGGTCTTTCACCCCAAAATTTGCACCCCCTAGGATTTACTGTTTGTACACCGAAGTCAACAGCACCACTATAAAAATGATTACAAGATAAAAAAGAAGGAGGTTTAAATATGCCGGATATTAGAAGGCACTATCAAGCAGTAGTCTTATCATGATTAATGGATTGGGCATATAATTCACAGGGGAAGAGTTGGGTTATGATTGAAAAAACACTGAGGGAAGTACAATTAGAGAGAATTATATGGATCCCACAGCAATATCACACAGTGGTGGAAAGCACCAGCACTTTTATATGGAATGTTTTCAGGATATGGGACTTAATTCATAAACAAGTAGGATGGGAACACAATTCGCCAATGATACCATTAGTAGAAACAAACTATTTTATTCCAGGTAGGAGGGAATTTGCTGGGGAATGGATAACGGATAAGAATGCATGGGTAAATGATGTTATGTGAATTGGAGAAATATGTGCTTTACAAGAGTTGAAAAAGAAAAAGGATATGTTTGTGTTGATGGATGAATGGAGGTAGTTTCAGTTAAAGCACTTTTTAACAACACTCCCCCAGCCAATAAGAGGGGGCGGGGAAATTTGCACCCAATAGAGCACTTATTGAGTTTAGAGGGGACACAGAAACATTGTACATCACGTATGTATAAGACACTTAATTTAATTCTCGATCGGACCCCACTAGAGTATATGGAGAAATGGGAAAGGGATCTAGGTTCACAACTGAGTGATATTCAGAAAAAGAAAATATTTAGGATTACACTGGGGGGCAATGCCGCCGCCCCGTGAGGACGCCGGATGACGAAACTAGTAGGGTAGGCTTCTTTTGGATGTGACGTCTGGACGCTCCTCGTAGACTGTCGGCTGTGATATCGCGGTGAGCGAGGCTCGTCCCTGTTTTCTTGAGGCTGTCATTGCTGGTGTCAGCTAGACACCGTTTGTGAGTGCATTTCTGACGTTTTAATAAAACATTTTGGTTTTAAACGTACTGCACCATGATTTCCTTTTTTGATTCCCTGAACATGATCTATGGTATGGAGGACGTGATGACTACCTGCTGTTAAGGCTATTCCATATTGTGCTGATTGGCTGCTTGCAGTATATTGCTCCCAGTTTGGATTACTTCTGCTGATCATCGCTCCCAAAGCAAACGCTATCTTTGCTGACTTATAATCTGGTCAGCATGGAGCTCTGGTGAGTGTACCCATTTCATTCGGTGGTGGATTTTTTTTGCACAGTGTTTGATTTATACAAGATTTCAGAACTGTTTAATTACTTTGTTATGGTGGATGGACTTTTATATAAAATTTTTTCTATCACGGACATCATTATTTTAAACTAATACTTTTTTGTATTTACTTATATTTAGCGCACTCTATGATTTATTCACATTTTTACCTTTTTTTGGTTAAGAGTGCAGCTTTTGTTCTATTTCGTTTGTGGCGCTTTTTTTTCTCTATTTCTCATATTAACAATTATTATTATAAATAACGAAAGAAAAAGTGATAATGGAACTGTGGTCGTGCTTGTTTCATGCTATGGACCTTACAGTGAAACAATATAAAAATAGGATTTGTGTTTTGTTTGATCAATGTGGCAAAAGGTTTAATCCCCAAGTTTTGGAAATCTAAAGAATTACCTAAAGTCAAAGATTGGGTGAGGAGAGTAGAATATATTTTTAAGAGGGAAGAGCTATGTAACGGAGGAAAGGCAGACAGAAACACAGAGAGGATTCGATGCACAAAGCTTTATTGAGACAAATAGACGGCAGTCCTTCAATACGGGGGGTGACAGACAGGGTGGATTTGCCACTAAAGGGTAACGAGGGTCCCCCCACCCACTTATAGTCCACTAGGAGAGCCAATGTAACAGGGGTAGTCCGACACAGGAGAGGGGTGCCTGGAGTCACCACCGTAACAGTTCAGGTAACAGTGGGGAAGCAGGTACTCACGGAGAACAAGGGGTTCAGTCCAGGCAGGGGATAGATCCAGGCAGATTCACGGGGACAGCTGAGCAGGGATTCCAGCAGCACATACAGTCCAGGAGATGAGGAGGAGGACGGGGGATGAGAGGAGCTGGCGCTCAGCACAGCCTTACCTCTCACACACAGCCAGGAGAACACACAGGGGGGTTTCCTTGCTCTCTCTTAAGTATTGAGCTGGTAACCGGATACTTCGTGTCGGGTTACCATGGCAATGGGTCCTGTCCAGAGAGTTCAGGAATTTGGCATGAGGGGGAAGGGAGGAGGGGTCCAGAGTAATTTAATTAGACCATTTGGCCAGTGACACAGGGGACAATTGGAACAATACAGAGCAGGACTCTGAGGGCATGTGATACAAGGCATTAATAAGGGGATTAATAATTGGCAGGCTCCCATACCGTGACACTCCTCCCCCCTCCTTTTCACAAGTGCCGATAAGGGGGACCCAACCGGGTTCCCTGGAAGGCACTTGTGGGGCCTAGCCTAGCTACTGTGGGTCTTGTTGGCGGGAAAGGCCATCAGCGTTTTGGTGCTGGCTTCCCCGCCTGTATCGAATGGTAAAATTGTAGGGCTGGAGGGCCAGGCTCCACCTAAGGAGGCGCCCATTGTCCCCGGACACCCGGTTCAGCCATGTGAGGGGGTTGTGGTCGGTGACTATGGTGAACTCCCGGCCGTATAGGTAGGGCTGTAGTTTTTTTTAGGGCCCAGACTATGGCTAGACACTCCTTCTCCACTGTAGCATAGGCAACTTGTCCAGTAGCTTGCGGCTGAGGAAGGCAACGGGGTGTTCCTCCCCAGCCTCGTTGAGTTGGCTGACGACAGCTCCTAGGCCGTAGGTGGAGGCATCTGTCTGTACGAGGAAGCGTCTATTGTGGTCAGGGGCGGCCAGGACGGGGTTTCTTGCCAGGGCGGATTTGAGGTCACAGAAGGCGGATTCACAGGCCGAGGTCCAGGTCACCATCCGGGGACTGTTCTTCCGGGTCAGGTCGGTCAGGGGCTGGGCCATGGAGCAAGTCCATGCTGGGGAAAGGTCCTGTGGTGGCTTCTGTAGGAGGACCTCGACCTGCTTGGCGCCGGGTCACCGCCCCGACGTACTGGCATCGTAGCTCCCCTAAGACATTGCCGAGTAGGACATCCGCCGGGAGGCCGCCCATGACGCCGATCTGGCACTGTTGCTCCCCGAACCCATAGTCGAGGTGCTCGGATGCCCTGGGGATGTGATGTCTGGCTCCTCCCGCCAGCTCGATGGCGAATCCAGGGCCGGGTTGGATGGCTTCCGGCCGGATCACTCGGGGATCAGCGATGGTCAGGAAGGCCCCCGTATCCCGAAAACTGGTGGTGGGTTGCCCATCTACCCGCACGGCCTGCAGGTGGCGTTGTTTTCTGGGTGGAGTATGTAGCCCCCGGGGGGTGGACACTGTAAACCCCCCAGGGTTGGTTGGTGTCTGGGGGGCTCATCCATTCGCTGGGAGGCGGGGGCAGTGGTTCTTCTGCGGGATGAAGTTCCAGGTAGTGAACCGGACGGGTAGAACGCCGGCTTCGAGAGTGGGGCAGTTAGCTTGGAGGTGCCCTGGCTGGTTGCATCCGTAGCAGCTGCGCTCCATGGGGGGCCCTGTGAACCGGGCTCTGGGGGGTGGCCCTGCGGGATTGGCAGTGGTAGGTGGGGGGCCCGTTTTGGCAGAGGTGGCGGGGGGCGGGGCCCTTGACGGCTCAGGGGCCTGCTGTTTCCAGTGTGGCTTGATGGCCAGGATCTCATCAGCCAGGGCAGCAGCCTTTGCAAGGGTGGTAGGGGCTTTCTCTCTTACCCATCCGCGCACCTCCGCCGGGCATTGGTTGTAGAATTGCTCCTTTAAAAATGCTTGAATGATTTCTTCTGCGGTGCGGGCCTGTTCCCCCTCTAGCCACCTCCGACAGGACTGTGACATCTTGTGCGCATACATCCTATAAGACGGTTCCGCATGGCAGGGAAGGTCACGGAAGCGCGCCCGGTGCACTTCTGGGGTCACCGCATAATATTCCAACACAGTCTGTTTGACCCGGGCAAATCCCGGCCATCCACATAGTCCAGAGTGCGGTAGGCCACAGCTGCACCCCCTTCTAACAGACCCACGAGGTGCCGTATCCAATCCGTGCTTGGCACCTCCATGAGCTGGCACTGCTTCAAAGTCCTGAAAGAACCCCTCCACATCCCCGGCGGCTTCGTTGAAGGGTTTAAAGTCCTTGCGGCTGACCCGGGGAGGGGGGTATCCCGCGGCCCTGGGGCTGGACGGGCAGCTTAGGTCACGGTGGCTCCCTTGGCTCTCTCTTTTTGCGCCCTTGGATAGCCTCTCGCTTGTCCTCTGCTGTGGCGTCTGACCCCAGAAGGGCCATCTCTCTTCCTCCACCCGAGTAAGCCAGGGGCTCTTGGGCCCTGGATCCTTGCGTGCTGGGGAGGCTGGGGTTGATCTGCTTTTTCCTGGGGCGTCCTGGGGGTCCGCCTCCTCAATGGCAGTGATCAGATCCTCTTTGGCTAAGCCCCTCCAGGAAAGGGCCAGCTCCTCAGCCCTCTCCTGCAGACATGCCACAGTCCACTTCCTGTATTCGCTGGGCCGGGTCTGTTCCTGCATCCGCTGGCTTTCGCTGTCTGTCATCTCCTCAGTGTCCTGATCCCACCGCTGCCAACCAGTATGTGACGGAGGAAAGGCAGGACAGAACACACAGAGAGGATGACCGATGCACAAAGCTTTATTGAGACAAACAGAAGTCCTTGGCAGACAGGGTGGATTTGCCACTAAAGGGTAACGAGGGTCCCCACCCACTTATAGTCCACTAGGAGAGCCAAGGGGGTGTCCCTGTAACAGGGGTAGTCCGACACAGGAGAGGGGTGCCTGGAGTCACCACCGTAACAGTTCAGGTAACAGTGGGGAAGCAGGTACTCACGGAGAACAAGGGGTTCAGTCCAGGCAGGGGATAGATCCAGGCAGATTCACGGGGACAGCCGAGCAGGGATTCCAGGCAGCACATACAGTCCAGGAGATGAGGAGGAGGACGGGGGATGAGAGGAGCTGGCGCTCAGCACAGCCTTACCTCTCACACACAGCCAGGAGAACACACAGGGGGGTTTCCTTGCTCTCTCTTAAGTATTGAGCTGGTAACCGGATACTTCGTGTCGGGTTACCATGGCAATGGGTCCTGTCCAGAGAGTTTCAGGAATTTGGCATGAGGGGGAAGGGAGGAGGGGTCCAGAGTAATTTAATTAGACCATTTGGCCAGTGACACAGGGGACAATTGGAACAATACAGAGCAGGACTCTGAGGGCATGTGATACAAGGCATTAATAAGGGGATTAATAATTGGCAGGCTCCCATACCGTGACAAGCTATAACATAGTGATAAACTTGAGAATGTTATGGGGACATGGAAAGCGTGGCAGGATTTCAGAAGTACACAGAGATTTGCCAAACTGTTAGAATAATAAGAATAATAATAAGTGTTAGGAAGATATGGAGAGGCAGAAAAAAAAAAAAAATAAGAAAAAGAGAAATTTCCAGCATTGAAGCTTATGTGAATAAAGAAGAGTAAGGTTGAGTGAATAGGGGGGGTTGGTTGGGGTGGATGGGGGATGGAAAGTTATATAATAAAGAAAATATGTTATGAAGATTATTTGATGTGTGTTAGTAATGTGATTGTATATGTATAAGGTACTTTATAATAATAAAAATATAATAATAATAAAAATAAAAAAATGATTACACCTAAAATTAAACAAGCTTTTGGCAATACAGGATAAACAACTTGGGCCAGTTGCCATGTACATACTCCAATCTTTACGCTCAAACAAAGACAGTTGAATTACAATTTTATCATCCAACGTGGCCATTTTCGGTTATTGATTCATGAAAGACAGAATATTTATAATGACATAAATTAACAAAACAATTTGGTATACTGATTGAACAGAATAAAACAAGAAATATATGTGACTGGTAGAAGTATTTACCCTGTGATTGCGATAAATATACTATATGCTACTGTATAACATGCTTGACAGTCATAAAAATTATGCTATATCAGTATATAGGGGGCTCCGACCAATGTAATACAATGTTAATTTCTCCCATATTGTGTTATTGTTTGGATTTATGAGTCAGATGAGAAGAGCAAATTACTTTAAAATAGTTACATGTAGGTACTATGAGTGAGGTAAGCGATGAGATTGGGTTGGTCAGCCCACATGTAACAGATTTGGCTTTACATGGTGATGGTGAAACATAACAGTTTTAGAAGTTTAAAACCCATGCCCAAATACCTGATGAATAAAAGGATTAGATCAATTTTATGTGGGCCCTAATAAGCCTCGTGCACACGATGAAAATATAGGACAAATTATTGTGTTTTTTTTTTTCTTGTTTTTGCATGCTAGTCTCCATATCAAAAATGAAGAGGTTACTCAACTTACAAAAATTCTTGCACGACAACATACAATTTCGGAAGCTATGTATTCTATTGTATATGTATCGTATTTTGGATGAAAACTGTACTGATTAAACAAAAATTGTACAATCTGGTATCATACTACAAAAAAATTCACTTCACAGGGGTGGACTGACAACTCATGGGGCCCCCGGGCAATAGGGTATCATGGGGCCCCTGTGTCCTCGCCCACACCCAAAAAAGCCTATGAAAAAGCCAATGAAAGGTACCAGGGGCATCTCATGGGGCCCCCTACTGACCCCGGGCCCTCGGGCAGTGCCTGAGTGCTCGAATGGTCAGTCCGCCCCTGTCCCTTCAGATAATTTTGGATGGACTGTCGTGATTGGCTCTCGAAAGCTGTGTACTAACGTTCAGATTATCGTACAATCGCTTAGAAAGCGGTATTTTTCATGTAATTTTCTGATCGTGTGTACTAGGCGTAAGACTACTTCATTCTACCTGGCCAACCTCAAGCAGTACCTTACAGAGGACATGGTACAGCATTTAAGAAAGCCAATGCTACCTTATTCCATGAATGAGGATTGCTCTTCAGTGTGTTACCGCCATCTTGCACCTAGTATCAGGAGGCAATTAAAACAAAAATATGTCTAAAGTGTTTGCAAAGTAATCAACAAAAAAGTCTATTTTCAAGATTCTACTTGTTTTGTGTTTAAAAAACTCTGGTTCTCGAACCCCAATAACTGTACATGTTTTTCATCTCTCTGAAATTGTTAGGATGTTCTTCTAAACTACTGACCATTGAGAAAAACTTGCAAGGCAAAGCAACAGGTTTCTGTCACAGCTGGTCTCTGCAAACATATTTACTGGGGGGGGGGGGGGGCTAAGGGAATGTGAGAATATAAAGCAGGGGTGGCTAGCATTAAAATCGAGTTACTTTGCACAATGAGCAATATAAAGGTTCACTTTAAGGGACTGTGTCGACTGGTATGGCGCTTATTTTGATGACATCAGTTTGTCATCAGTTTGAGATGCTTCTGAGATCATTCAGAATGTATTGCTGGGTGGATTTGACTTGCATTTGTCCTCCTTCTGACTGCCATTTGAACTGCTTCAAGTAGGTTTTGTATTCCCATAGATTTTTACAGGAATGCAAAACCAATTTGATACAGACTGTCAACACAGGTCCTAACGTAAACCTAATGGAGCCCACCACTATTGACCTCTCCTACTTAAAAATGATAGTTGGATAACACTCAGGTTTCAATTCTTCAAGAATGGAGATCAACAATTCTCACCTTTCTTTGAATCTCTGAGATGCCTAAGTACTGAAACCAGGAACAGTTTCTATAGGCAACCAGCATAGTGAGAAGGATGTCACTTATGGTAGCCCCTGCATTTATTTCATGGAAGGTGTTCTTTAATATAAATATAATATAAACCTTTACTAAGAGAAATATGGAGGGTTCTATTACTGACTTCTGAAAATGCAATCTGCCTTGCTGTCATGCTGAAACAGTGGCTTCTAAACACTTGTAGTCATTCAGATTGGTAAAGTACGCATACCAGGAGTTCTGACTTCATTGACCTCATTACTTGTTGAGCTCAGAGGTAATCAGGCACCTAGCATTTTATGAAAGACAGGTCAATGAGAAGAAACAACAGACACACCAGAAAAGGGCCATGTCCTGACAGGAAACCATCAAGAGAGCTGCAACCAGGACCTCCATTCAGCCACAGGACCACTGGCCTAGAGCTAGGATCTTGCTGAGACTCCACAAACCTGCAAAAGGTTTAAAGTATAGAGATCTGAGTGGGAGTTCAGCTTATGTGAATGAATGATTGGTAGGAGATGTCCAATATGAAGAGACTTACCAATAATGTAAATATTTGCCTCCTGGTACATTCAGGTACCCAGAGTATTGTAGGAAAGATGGCTCCTCATCCAGGCCAGGTAAGTAAGTGATCTGATCTTCTGGGGAGCAGCTTCTATAGAAAGTGCCACCAAAAGCACAGTGCAGAATAAGAAGACCATCTGAAAGATCCAGAAACAGAATTACAGTTCTTGTCTTGCTCACCACCAAGAGCAGGACATGCTCACGGATCATTTTTATTAGGGCAACTGTACTTTATGCTGAAGTTAATCAAAAGCTCTCATAATTCTACATCATGAAAAAACTTGATCTGTATTTTTTTAATTCTGATTCAATTTTTGAAGCTTCAGATTTCCAAAGTGGGTATCAAGAGCAAATAGCATGAAGCTGATTAGCTTATTTAAATTTAAAGTATATGCTGGTTTAGACCCAGAATTGTGATCAGTGTATTGTATATAAAAGACTACAATAGACTAGGTACATATGGCAAAAGTGGGGTGATAGGTCATACAGCAAAGCCTTTGATTCATATTACACCAAGTACAGTGTCTATAAAAATTATCCACACCATTGAAAGTATTTGTTTTATTGTCAGACAGACAGTATCAACAAACAGGCTTCAGTAAGCAGGGGCCAAAGCAATCAAAAAGCCCTCCAACCTAATCAGTCCATAGCACACTAAAGCCTCCATAGAACAGAATGTATTCACTTATCTATTTCCATAACCTGTCTCACAAATAAGAGGATTATCCCTCACCTCAGCACAGTGGGCAGAGCCATGCAAATCATTACTTATTCTGGATGATGGGGCACACAGCCAAAAACAGGCCATCCACCAAAAGTGAGTAACTGTACTAGGAGAATAGTGAGGGAGGCCACTAAGAGATCTATGACCACTTTGAAAGAGTTACAGGGCTCAATATCTGAAATTGAAGAGACGAGGCACACAACAACTGTGGCCCTAACACTAAACCTGACACTGACCTAGATCAAATCTTGATCTAGCAATTTATTTTTTTTTTATTTTTAAAATTCTTTTATTTATTTATTTTTGTACACACACTTGTTTGTTTACATTTTTCTCCCCTGGCAAGGAGAGAAAGATACAATGTATCTATCTCTCCATTCAGAGGAGCAAAAAAACTCAGGAGTGGTTCTGCATAGTGAATGAGCACTGTGACAGCCAATCAAGGGCTATCATAGCGATCAGGTGATTGGAACCGGGACTCCTGATTCCTGATTATAGGTAGGAGACCTGAGGCTCTCTTCCTTTACTATAAAGAAAAGGCAACTAACCCCTCTAATCCTTCATTTCCTACATACGTTTGTCAGCCAAGCTAGGGAGAAGACTGCAGCTAAATTCTACCCAACGACGGTTTAATCCCACACTGACTGTCACTGCTATCATATGTCTGTACAGTGACTGGGCAAGCAAAAGCGTTTTATCATTTGATGGATAACAAATAACGGCCAACCCTGACAGATAGGTGCTGAGGTTGATAATTCATGCTAGAACCTAAAGGGTAACTCCACTTTTGTGGAAAAAAAAATCTAGCATATACAATTGCAACACATGTCATATTGTAATTGAATATAATCCTATTGTGTTGCGCTCCTTAAAAATACATATGATCACTTATCCATGCCCAAAACATATGACCATATAAAAACAAGTGAAAAAACATACATTAAATCCTTTAACCAAAATTCATATATAATAATCACTTAATTTACTTAAAAAACAAATTAATTCATACTATTAATATATATCCGTGATTATAAAATAGCTAAATCAATAATGCATCATTTTTAGTGAGAAAAAAAAATATATAAATCTCAAATAAAATTATTTTAAATAAATATACATATATACTTAATTAATATTGTGTGAAAACAGTGTCCCATATAACATAAAAATGGTGACTTTGTGCTTTAATTGATCTTCAATCCGTGATTGCATGTGAATCCGTGACTGTTTGTGAATCCTCCCATTAGTGCAGATGTAAGCTCACCTCCTTATCTGCCTATGATTAGGCTATATGCGCTTTTGGTTCTCCTCCTATGGAACCTGCTTGATTAAGACTCTTTCCTTTTTAAATAGTGGATATCCTTTATCACTGATTTTCCCCTCTGGGATTAATCCCTTCTCACGAGGACACAGGTCCTCTATACTCTCCTCTCCATACGTATGTGTTATGAGAAAAAAATGTTCACAGATCCTCATAGGAACTCCTGGGTGTACCTCCTATGGGTGTATCAAGATGGCCCTCCTTCCGCCGGAAGTGATGTCACCACATCTCCATCTCTCATTCAACTAGCTGCATCACTAATCACATGACTTCATCAGAAACCCATATTGTAATTGAATGTTATTAAAAATTACCTTTCCTTTTCAATCTGCAACGCTGTAATTTTCTATAAAAAAATAAATAAATAAAACATCTACCTGGAGGAGTTCTGTACATAGATGGTGTAAAAATTCCCCCCACCCCCAGTTTTGTCCTTTTCTGCTTGTGTGATTGGCTCACTGATTTTCCTAGGAGTCTGCACTAAGATGCATATCAGATTTTGAGCATCCCCTGCAACAAAATTATACTTTTTGGTGAGATACTCCCAAAGTGAAATCACATCTAAATAGATGCGGACCCTGCAGGTTTTCTCAGAGAAAGTGATGCATTACTGGGCTTGTTCTAAGGTAAGTACTTCATTATGTGCTAGTATGCAATGCATACTAGCACATTATGATGTTACCTTGCAGGGGGAAACTTTTTTTTTTTTTTTTAGGTTTACTACCGCTTTAAGAGTATTGAAGGGTTAGATCATTTGTCAGGTTTTTATTGCTGTCTGCATCCCAGCAAGGCAGATTCACCTCTTTATTTGTCCCGGTGACTATTGTCATTGGGACAGAAAGTGATAGGAAATAAAAAATGTTATGATTGTTACGGGAAAAAGAGGTTACAGCAACAACCCCAAAACTGTCAAAGACTGGACTTCTATTCACTTTTCCTGTTGTGTCTTCAGGACTACAATTGAAGGGAGAGCAGTCCAATACAACACAGGCAGCAAAAAATGCCATATTGAGGTTCTAACCATTCCCTATACTATCCACATCTAATATTATTATAATACAGGATTTATATAGCGCCAACAGTTTGCTCAGCGCTTTACAATATAACGGGAGACAATACAGCAACAATACAGTTCAATACAAGAGGGTTAGGAGGGCCCTGCTCTTTGGAGCTTACAATCTAATATAAAAGTCTTGGCTAGAAATGCATTTTGGCTGGATTCACACTTGGATCCTTTACAGTGGGTTAGTGCACATCCATTGAGGCACAATGCCTTGTGCATTGATGTGATTTGCATAAATATAGCCCATTTATTACAAATGGACTGATAATGCACCACAATGGAAAAAAATGCACATGATCCTTTTTTTACACAACAAATTCAAACCAGACAGGGGTTCTATCCATTTCCCACTCTATCCAAAATGTAAAAAATATTGGCTCTATAAACACTCTAACCAGAAGCCAAGTATTAGTGCATTTTGGAAAATAATACCATCTGTATTGTTTCAAAAGTTTTGCCAGATAAAGGTCTGCTGCGGCAGCATCCATAGATTAGTTAAACAAATACACCCTGGAACACAACTTTACAAGTAAAATGACGTGACTACATTACTGCTTGCTCTGCCTACATTCAATTATAGTATACAAACTTGCCTATTATCTAAAATAATGCAAATGTTACAAACCTTGGCTCCTCTGGGTCCTGATCCCTGTACACTACTGCAGGCTGTAGCTTCAGTTGGACTTTTATAGGTCAGGCGCAGTGATAATTCATCAGTCATGTGTTTAGAAACCACTTATTTTTTATGTAAATGTATCTGTTTAAAAAATGATCACACTGACACAGTGTTATCAAGCATTCGGATCTTTCCTCCGACACAAAAGGACAGATAGACAACTTTTCACCAGTCATACTTTGGAACATATTGATAAAAAAAACATAACTTTAAAAAGTTTAAAAGAGAAGTATGGCCAAAGTTTGTTTTGCCATATTTCTCTTGTGGGTCACAGGAGTGCACTAACTTTTGCTCTCCTGTGTCCTAGAATAAGCTAACAGTGGGCTTTAGCCATAACTAAAGAGCCGCTCCAGGCTCTGGAAGGATCCCAACCATTATGTTGGGATCCACCCAGATGCCTGATTGGCAGCTGATTCAGCCTCTCAGAGCGTGACTGAGATCCAGAGCCAGTCGCTCCTGCCCCGTCCACAGCCCGGCACTCCAATGAGCCCTGGAGGAGCAGAGCAGAGAGCCAGTGACTGACAGTCACTGCTCTCTGCTCAATGCTGACCAAGAACTGAATGATCAGTAGTCATGTGATTGTTCAGTTCTTGGGTTTAGAGCTGGCAGGGAACAGCTGCAGCAAAGGAATGATGCTGCAGCATGGAGCTGAGTATGTAGGGTTTTTTTAACAACCCAAAACTACTTCTTTAAATTCTTACATTTTTTTTTGTCAAAAAGGTCATCCCTAGACACTGGAAGTACTCCAACCATGATGGGTCAGAGCTGGCTCATCTATAGCACCTGCTAGGGACATGTGGCTAATCAAGTGTCCCCATGGGACTTTTCACTCCCTACAACCATCTCTCCCCCCTTTCGTGCCTGTATTGGTCTTCCATAGTTCAACGCTTTAATTGAATTAGCACAATAAAAGGTACAGAGTTTTTCTGCTGGCTTTCTCTGTTTATCTTTTCAGGTCCTGGGATGTTCCCCCCACATTCTGGTCACTGATAAGAAGGCATGAAGATGGCTATTGCCAGAAGATCATTTGATCCTGGGCAGATAAACCAAAAAAAAAGAGAGAAAGAAAATGCTTAGAAGCAAAATTTGAAAGTAAATCAAGCAACCAAAGGGGATGAAGTGTTTTCCCTTCTAGGTGCCAGCATCTATGACATGGTACAACAATCTGAAACTTCATTCAAGCTCTCATCATCCCTCCCTCCCTTCGTCGCGGCTCCAACTTTATTGGGGTAAAATTGCCCCACAGGTGTGGGTGGACACAGTTTATGGTGGTTTGGCACGGTTACTTGGTGCTCGAGTCCTAAAAGACTGAGCAGGGGTAATGTCACCCCACAAGTGTGGGAGAACTGTG